AACCAACTGAGCTACAGAGAGACAGTTGTCGAGCTCTAACCAACTGAGCTACAGAGGCCAGTTGTCGAGCTCTGACCACAAGTTCATGGGACCTACATAGTTCCATTTTTCCTAGTTGTTCCTGGTTAGGTCTAATAAATGTTTATACATTTCCACTTGATCTCCATCGGGTAGAGGAATATACTTTCTAAAAGTTAGAAGGTTTCACTAAGCACTATCGTGCAGCAGATGATGGTCAACCTGCAGTTATCAGAGTGAGAAAATGATGAGAATTCTTTACATGATATATCATTTCTGTAAAGGTTGCATGGTTTACACTATCAAAGTTTCTGTGATCACAGTAGGAATTTTGCATAGACCAATAGACCTTTCCCCTTTTGAGTGAAATTTTGAACTAGACAAGTCTGGACAAAAATTTCATCACAGCTTGAAAGAGCATCACAACATTAGTAATATTCCGAAGTTTCGTTGCGAAATGTTGTAAAATGCGGATTATATATGTAGCCTTGCGAAGTTTGCCGTTTTTCAGTCATTTTGTATTACAAACGGGAAATTGATAATCAGATGATCAAACAGATTATCAATTTCCAATTTGTAATACAAAATGACTGAAAAACGGCAAACTTTGCAAGGCTATATTATCCGCATTTTACAACATTTCGCAACGAAACTTCGGAATATTACTAATTTTGTGACGCTCTTTCAAGCTGTGATGAAATGTTTGTCCAGACTTTGTTTAGATCAAAATTTCACTCATAAGGGCAAAGGTCTATTATAACTTTTGAAGGATTTGTAAGAAATATTTGAGGAAATCGACTCAAGTCAGTTCCCTGAACCATTTCTTACAAATCCTTCAAAACATAGCATTTAAAACATAGCATAGTAACCAGTCACTGAAAAGCCCTGATAGGGAGTGTGCTGTGAAATATCTGTATTTATCCATGATACCCGGCCTTAAGTGTCATTTGTGAAGTTGACCATCTATATACTGTTCTGTGACCTTCCAATTACTGTAATAGAACTAGAAATACTAGAAATAGTCGAACACGCGAGCACTGCTCGCTGGAAATGTTAAACAGCTGCAGGAAATTCGTTTGAATGAAGATTTGCTATTGAAAATCTGAAGGAAACCTTAACAGCCATGTCCCACTATGGGAGCAACAACATATGGTTGACAGACATTATTCCTTGAATTTAAAACCATGGTCAGCTAGAACACTATATGTTTATGCGCATGCAGATTTAGCACAAAATGCTCCGTTGGTTTGTAGGAAATTTTTGTCTCCAGCTTGTGCTCCCAGGAAGAAAATTCTTCTTCCCTGCCCTGTTGATAATTACAATTAGTCAATATCATCGTGACCATCTTCTGTCTAGGCCGACAAGTCAAGCTCAGAACACTCAACCAGTGAAAGGGAAAATCCAGACATCTCCTTCTGGTAAGGTCAAAAAGAGAAGTCGAATGTTTCTAGCATAACTGCAGACGCCAGGGGCCCATGCCCCCCCCCCTGCTACCTCCATAGTATTTTGGGACTAATTCCACACCGGGGCGGATTTACCGTGGGGGTGCAGGGGGATGCGCACCCCACCTAGTGGTGTCTTGCACTCCCTAGAGAGAAGTCCAGCACCACCACCCAAAAATATGCTTACCATGCATTTTCCGCTTTTCGAATAGCGATTAGCGGAACTTGCTGTTAGCGCGTGTCGATTCCTTGAAACGATTTAATTGATTTGTGAGCTCACGAGAAAATACTCGGAATGCTTTAGTTAAATATCATGGTTAAATATGTAAACATGTCGAGGTTGTCATACAGCCATAGTTTCAAATACACTGTACTTTAACAAGCAAATGTACTGTACTGTGCTACAGCAACTGTCCAGTCACGCATACGTGATAAAAGCCGATATAATCTTTATAAACAAGAATTCATGTAAAACGCAACAGAACGGCGAACATGCAGATTCGGCCATCTCAAATAATGGTAATGTTGGGATAGTAGCGTTGCAGACTGCTGGGGAGAGTGGGCAGTAAGGCTCCCTCACGCACCACCCCATGGAAAACCTGTACCCCTCCTTGCAGATGAGGCTAGATCCGCCCCTGATTGGAGCTAAATATCTAAACTGGGAATTACTGGCAAACAACTTTAAAAATTCAGTAATCTAAACAAACTAGCTCCGCCAGCATGGCCTGCATGAATCCCTTTCGAAGGCTGGCTACCTCTACAAAAATCAACTCTCTACGTATGGGTGTATCGTACAATGGCCTGTAGCCCTAGATTTACGCCTGTATTCTAAAAGCTCACTCACACTCGATGAGTGGAGGTTCAATCTGAGCTTCCCTTGAGTGTCAATGCTGTTTTTGAATAGCTGGAGGGTGACTAGTTACATTGTACGGTACGGCACTAACCCTCCAGCTATTCAAAAACAGAAATGACACTCGAGAAAAGCTCCAATTGAAACTCAACTCATTGAGTGTGAGTGAGCTTTTAGAATACGGGCGTTAGAGTTGCAGCTCAATTTAAGTGTATTTCTGTTGCAGGGACAATAACCAATATCCCCAAACACATGGTGACGGATCAGTTTGGAATGATTGGTTTATTAACTTTCATCAGAGCAGCGGAAACCGAACCCAATTTAGTCACCTTGGCTTTGGGAAGGTACAGGCTATTATATTTTATGGTTAATTTCATCATTTACAGTGAGTAACATGCCTTTTCCTGTATTAATTTCTACATACAAAATAAAGATGGTTACAGACGAGCAAGTCTTCGATGACAAGTTTTTATATGGCAAGTTTTCTTTGTCAATTGCACATGTGGACGTACAACAAATCAGTTCTATGACAAGTTTTTGGTTTTCTGACCGCCACGATAGCTATAGTAAACTACAGTATTTAAAACATTAGATCGCTGACCAACCGCATGCAAGTCTTCAGATTAAAAGTTTGCCAAATTTTCTTTGTTGACCTATACAGACGAACAAAATTTGTACTTTGACATTTTTTTCTATGACATGTACACTTCTTCAAAAGCTAGCGTACTAGCTAGCATACTAACTAGCGTACTATCATAATTTTTTTTTAATGTACTCAGGTGAATGTGATGCTTGTGATGTTACTCTGAGTGAATAACCATACCTGGCAAGCTTGAAAAATATGCCTGGCCACGGTTGGTGTTCCAAAGGTCGTAGGTTCGTTTCTTACGGTGGCAAGGCATATTTTTCAAGCTTGCCAGGTATGGTTATGCACACATCACAAGCATTATACTTATCATAGTAAAAATTGGCAAAGTTTCCTATATCAGATGACCAAATAAAACTTGTCATCAGGGCTTTCAGAATTATTCTGAGTAGGTGTCTGTTTTGATAAAGTAGGCGGCTGTTGGGAGGGGGCGGTCTAGTGGGACTTAAACTAGTGTATATTGATTAGATAGCAACACAACTGAGCTCTGGAACCAAATTATAATGCATGACTATACTTTGATTCTTCAACAAGATAACTTCAAGATTTAAGATGGCAAATAACTAAATCGATTTTACGAAACAGTACACCGTTTTCGAAAATAACCAGGCTATAAAGTATAGACCAAGTTGAGGAACAATAAGTTTGTTTGAAAGCTTAGAATGGAGGAAGGAGGGCAGAATTGATATTTCAAGTACTAATCAAAGTAACCGGTGGTGAACCTTGTGGCACCCGCTGGAGCTCCGGCGGCGCCGGCTTATTTTGAAAGCCCTGGTCATATGAAAACTTATAAAAAACTTCCTCGTCTTTAACCGGCTTGCCGTAATTTCTGTATTAAGTCCGCGGGGGGGAGGGCTTATTTTTTTCAAACATTAAGGGGGAACTTAATAGAGAGGGGAGCTTACTCTAAATTTATACAACAAGTGTTCGATTCTTTTTTGTCTACCATATAAATGCAGACATAGAATTTTAGAATTTTAATCAAGGTAATTTAGAATTTTAAAATGGTAAGTTGTGGTGTCAGGACGCTTCAAAGCGATGTCAAATGAAAAGGCATTGATGTATATTTTAAAGAATGAACTAGAAAAAACGGCCGACAAACTGAAACATATGAACATTAATGTCAATGCAGTAAAGACCTTGAATAAAATATTATATCTTTGACATCTTGTAGTACCTCAGAAGTAAAAAGAGAAACGGGGCTTATTTTTTTCTGCATCCAAAAGGGGGGCTTATTAGAGAGAGGGTGGGGTTGAAAGAAGAAGGGGGCTTAATACGGTAAGTCATGTTTCTTCACTGATTTGCATCCTTTGGGAATGATTGGAAATGCGATTATTCACGATAAGTGTATTTATTTATTCTTTACAGTGATCTAACAACGCTCGGACTAAATCTCAATTCACCAGAGTAAGTCATTGCTTCTTGATACCTGTATCTGCATTGTTGATTATTTATTCAGACTATTCCTGTGGTTTTGTTTGCAGGAGTCTTTATCAAACGTTTGGATCGCCTTTCTCGGATTCGCCTTGCAGACCGCATGAAATAGGTAACACTTGTTTTGTAAATTGCTGTGGTTTGTGTCTGAACTACTTGAAAAAGATATCTCAAATGTGGTGGTGCAGTGTGGGTAGTATTGTACAATAAGCTGTCGTTGTTTGTGTCTGAACTACCTAAAAAAGATATCTCAAACGTCGTGGTCCAGTGTATGTAGTGTACTACAATAACCTGTTGTGGTTTGTATCTGAACTACCGGAAATTGATATCTCAAACGAGGTGGTCCAGTGTAGGCAGTATTCTACAATAAGCTGTTGTGGTTTGTGAACTACCTTAAGAAGATATCTCAAACATGCACTGTTAATTTCAGGGAGTTAACTTAACTCCGGTGGAGTTATACTGTACCTCGATTAATTCCAAATATGGAGTAAAATTAGGTTCAGAATAATACCACTGGAGTTAAATTAACTCCCTGAAATTTACAGTGTGGTGATCCAGTGTAGTTATCATTATACAATAAGCTGTTATGGTTTGTGCGTTCTTTTATTTTATTTTATTTTATTTTATTTTACAATTTTTGTCAAATAAATGACAGGTTATACCCACAGAGCAGAACACTCCTTTACGGGTAACCTTAACTATTTATACAGAATACATATAAGTGATAATTATTAACAACACGATTTAACAGAGAGACTAGACAAGGGACGACATGAATGACACTTAACACAGATTGTTTTGTGTCATAATTTTCTTCAGACATTTTTAAAACATCGAAATGTTTTTAACCCTTCTTCAGGCAGTTCAGACAGAAACAATTACCTACACTGGACGTTACGTTTGAAATATGCTTTGTTCTTTCTTTCTTCTGAGATTTTTCTCAATCCTATGATGTTCTTTAGATTTCAACGTGCCTCCAGAATACAGAATAAATTCTTACATCAGAGAAAAGTTGGCGCCGTTTAAGCTTGGTCGTTATGGAGAAGATGTATTGTTTTATTTGTATTACACGAATGAAGGAGATGTCCTACAGTTGGCTGCTGCCGCAGAATTGTAAGGATTTTATTTATTTAACTTAGCAAACCTAAACTAAACTAACTGTATTTATACTGCATATAGCTCTATCAGTTCTAAACTGTTCTCCCTAGAGGTCCAGTAAGGATCATCTCTTATTGATCCAGTGTTACTGCAGGAGGAAACTTAAACTAAACAAACTTTATTTATACTGGATAGTTCTATCAGTTCTAAACTGTTCTCTTTAGAGGTCCAGTAAGTATCATCTCTTATTGATCCAGTGTTACTGCAGGAGGAAAGTTAAACTAAACAAACTTTATTTATACTGGATAGCTCTATCGGTTCTAAACTGTTCTCTTTAGAGGTCCATGCAGTAAGGATCATCTCTTATTGATACAGTGTTACTGCAGGAGGAAACCTAAACTAAACTAATTTATTTATACTGGATAGTTCTATCAGTTCTAAACTGTTCTCTTTAGAGGTTCAGTAAGGATCATCTCTTATTGATCCAGTGTTGCTGCAGGAGGAAACCTACACTAAGCTAACTTTATTTATACTGGATAGCTCTATCAGTTCTAAACTGTTCTCTTTAGAGGTCCAGTAAGGATCATCTCTTATTGATCCAGTGTTACTGCAGGAGGAAACTTAAACTAAACTAACTTTATTTATACTGGATAGCTCTATAGTTCCTCCTAGAGGTCCAGTAAGAGTCATCACTTATTGATTCAGTATTACTACAGGAGGAAACCTAAACTAACTTTATTCATACTTAATATTTCTGTCAGGTTTAATTAGAGAATTTCTTCTAAAACATCTCGGCAGCACTACTGTATATTTTTACACGTCACTCTAATGTGGGGACCATTGACATACCAGATACCTCCAGTGCTAGCTCTGAGATCAGTGGTTTTCATTTTCAGATATTCACGTGACTGGCGCTACCACAAGGACGAGAGGGTGTGGCTAACTCGCGTGCCCGGGGTGGAGCCGCTTCAAAAGACTGAAGTTTATGAGAGAGGCACGTACTACATCTTCGATTATCTCAACTGGCGGAAGATTGCTAAGGAATTCCATCTGGAGTATAAAAAACTTGAGGAAAAACCAGCGTTGCAAACTTTAGCTGCACAGTGAGTACACATAGGGTCGGGATGAGTTATAGAGCGAGTAGGGGTGAATAGGGACAGCTACAAGGTGCAATACGGGTAACTCATGGATAGAAGCCAGTTCGGAGTTGCGCAATGTCTGGTGATAAAATGCAGTGTCGACCTGAAAAATAAAACGTTTCGAGGGTAGGCGTCTCGTCTGGGAGTTTGGCAAACTGACTAAACTGAATGGCCTTCGCATGAAGTTCGTTCTTCTTTTTCATCTAAGGGACGGGTCATATAACAAACATACTTGCAGGTTCGGTGAGTCCGGGATTGGACGCACCGAGGGTGGCTGGAAGTTTCCCGAACTCACCGAGCGAAGCGAGGTGAGTTCGGGAAACTTCCTGCCACCCAAGGTGCGTCCAATCCTGGACTCACCGAACCTGCAAGTATGTTTGGTTTTTATCACGTGCGGTAAAATACTAAAAAGTACTGAAGAATTTTATACGCATTTTACTTTTTAGTATATAATTTCGTGTTTGGATAACGAACATTTTAGCCGCCAACATCGTACGCAAACAAACAAACTTAGGCTTAAATTAAAGCTAAATAAATTCTCTACAATATTTCCTTATTCTTGAAAAGAGAAAATGCACACATTCTGCCAAAACAATGCCAAGATTTGTATAAACCTGCCCGTGCCGAACAAATTTCGGCGGCCATCTTTCTTCTCTTCCACTTTGAATACAGAATATTCCATTTTTATCAAACAAAATAAAAAAATAATAATTATAAAACATTTAAAAACAGTTAATTTATTTTTTATTTAAATCTTCGTCTGAAATTTGTTGAAATCTCTTCATAATGGCCGCCGCCAAAACATCGATCTCGAACCCACCTCCTAAACATACGTCAGCAGGTGGGTTCGAGATTAAACGCACCTCCTCGTAGCCAATAGGAAAGCCGCTAATACACTAGGTATGAGATAATAAAGTAACTGCTAGAAGGATGGGCCATGAAATTATTTTCATCAGTTTGGGTGGATCATCAATTTGTTTTTTGTGCAAATGGATGGGCCATAAAACACATATAGCCTGCTTGCACTCAATACATACTATAACTACTACACAACATTCCTATTAAAAGAATCAACATTCAATATACTGCTACTCTGTACATATTCATGTATAGCAGGATGGATCGTGAAATTTTTCCAATGACCTACGGTGGGCTTTGAAATTTTTTCTAGGTTCTCGGGATGGGCCACCGGTTTGTTTTTTTTGAAAACCTATTTTCCCCTCCGGCACACCCTAGCAGTTACTTTGTGACCGGTCCCTAATAAACAAATTTGGCTAACGTTGTTTACATCGTTGCTACCAAATTCTCAACTTCAGATAAGTCACATGCCTGGTTACTATTGTTCTAGTATACAGAAACATAGAATAGACCAAAGGTAACCTGCGATCAGGCTCTATTTTACAAATAATATTTATTTATTTATAGGCCTGATCGCAGGTTAGACCAAAGGTAACTAAGCATTAGAGTTATGTATAAGAGTTATTCACTCATGTAGATTGTTCTAAAGCTTAGGGCCGCAAAAACGTTACGAATGGACCTTTCCCCTTATAACTAAAATTTTGATCTAGACAAAAATTTTATCACGGCTTGAAAGAGCATCACAAAATTAGTAATATTCCAAAGTTTCGTTGCGAAATGTTGTAAAATGCGGATAATATAGCCTTGCGAAATTTGCCGTTTTTCAGTCATTTTGTATTACGCACGGGAAATCGACAGCCCAATCGGGTGTTGGGGCATCAATTTCCCGTTTGTAATACAAATGACTGATAATTGCAAATTTCGCAGGGCTATATTATCCGCATTTTACAACATTTCGCAACGAAACTTCGGAATATTACTAATTTTGTGATGCTCTTTCAAGCTGTGATGAAATTTTTGTCTAGACTTGTCTAGATCAAAATTTTAGTTACAAGGGGAAAGGTCCATACGCTAGAATCGCTTACACAACATTAGCCTGCGAGCAGGCCCTTCTGGCAGGCTAACAGAGCATGCGCTTTCACATGCGATGAGCCCAGAATCTAAGCCAGAATTTTCGAGGTCGTACTTGACGCCTTCTGTTCAGGCGTTTCACGCTCCTAATTCTGGCAACTGGCTTTGAAAGAAGTCTGACTAACATCACTCGATTTGTTACATAATCAGCCTGGTAATTTAAAATCACAATATTCAACTGAATGTGAGCGATGTTACTGGAAATTATACCAATTAATATCGGGACAACAGTTTGCCTCCCAGGCGCCATTTTTAAAAATGACCAAGGCAACTGACGCACGATCGTGTTTAACCTGGGGCGCTTTCCATGGCCTGACCGGTCAGACCCGAATTCTTTTCTCTGTATCAATGGAAAGATCTGGTCTATGTTTCTCAAATATCTAGGGAAAATGGACCTCATTCTAATTCTGTCTAAATTTTTTGGTCAGATATGTAAGAAGCCCAACCGTTTTGTGTTCCATTCAACAATTGACCCAATCTTGTACACAGAGCAATGCTTGTGCGCGGGCGAGGAAAGCATTGGCTATGCAGGGGAAATAGACAACCGGTTGTTGTCGGCATGCACTATTGATAAACGTTAAACCAATCACGGCGCGGAAAAATTCTATTTCCGCAGAGCCAATGCTTTCCTCGTCCGCGCACAGGCATTGCTCTGGGTTCGAGATTGCAATTGACCGTTCTGACCGATCTGGGATGGAAAGCGCCCAATGTTGACTCGATTCTATACTTTAAAAAAGAGTGGGTGGATTTCAAATTTCTTCGATATACGTCATCGTTTTCAAACGTTCCGGTTACAGTGCGTCCGCACGTATCCGGATTCGTTGTGTTTTCCGCAAAAGTTTCCACTCAGCTGGAGAGTGTTTTCAAAAGTTTGCGGTTACAGCGTGCGTCTTCGTCGGATACGCGTGGACCGAAGGCGTTCCGCAACAAAGTGTTTGCGGATGCAAACGAATGCGGATACGTGAGGACGGGGGCCTTACTTATCTTTGTTCTACTGTATTCTGTGTTTCTGTGTACTAGAACAATAGTGACCAGGCATGTGAGTTATCTAAAGTTGGAAAGTGGCTTTAAACAAATGTTAGCCAAATTAATCTACAGTGTGTCTAAAAAAAAAGTGAACCCTTAATTCAAATTAGCTATAACGTATTGTATTAATTTGACAGCTCTAATAGACCTTTCCCCTTTTAAGTGAAATTTTGATCTAGACAAGTCTGGACAAAAATTTCATCACAGCTTGAAAGAGCATCACACTATTAGTAATATTCCGAAGTTTCGTTGCGAAATGTTGTAAAATGAGGATAATATAGCCTTGCGAAGTTTGCCGTTTTTCATATCCAACCATTAATTTAAAGCAATTAGAGCTGTCAAATTACTACAATACGTTATACTGTAGCTAATTTGAATTCGAAAGGGTTCAGTTTTTTTTATACACACTGTATAGCTATATCTAAAACACAAATGGAAAATTGAACTCAGGTGAATACTTCGATATGCCTATTTTAAATCTTCCAGTCTTAACTACATGTTAAAATTCGACTGCAAATTTATCTTGACGCAAATGGCGTTATTTGGATGCGCACTGCGAACTGGCTTGTTAGGCCCGTTTTATACGTCGAATTTTGGTCACGTCGAATGCAATTAAGACAATAGATAATGAGATGATAAACCTCATTAAGCTTCATTATCTATTGTTTGAATTGCATTCGACGCGACCGAATTTCGACGTATAAAACGGGCCTTAGAGGGTTTAAGGTCTACGACGCGACCGGCTCAATGATGCGGTCTGAATTTCAGCCCAAGAATGAGCGCTGAGCAATTTATACACTTTTCTGCGATCTTTCTAGTGATGCAGATTATCTTTGTGAAAAGTAAATTTTCCATTTTCCATGTCAACATATATACTACTGTATATTATATAGTCTTGGTGTAAGCGATCAGAAAATGCCAGTTGCGAATATCCCTGGGACGACAAATTGTTCCCAGTTTTTGTCTTGCATATGACATATTTCTTTGTTCGAAAGGCCCTCGTTAAGCCGGCCGCGTCGTAGATCTTAATCTCTATTGTCGTGCAAAGGCTTGATTGACAACATTGCTGATTAATAACCAACTTTGATCACATCAATCGGTTGTTTCAAAATTCTTTAATCGACAAGATGTTTGATAACTGAATAGTTGGGTTTCATCGAAGTGTTTTCTATGGGGCTGCACATGCAGAGGCGTAGCCACAGCTCCGTCCGTATCCCCCCCCCCACCACGTCTTCAGGATCAACTTTGTAACAGACAAATTTCATGATGATCATAAAACGTGTGTAAAATACATGAAATGACAGTCTATCAAGATCTGATGGTTTGGAAACGAAACGGAAGTCATTGTATTATGTTTTTGTCTGAGTTTATATTAATTTGTGCAAGGTCACGACGAAAGAGCTCATTGTGTTTTCGTATAATGAGGTAATCGTCCAATAGGGACTGCTGAGATGAATAATACTTAATGAAGTTAGGACACAGGAATTGTGCACGGTGAAATACAGTCCAACATCAAACAAAGCTCTTCTGTTTTGTCGTTTTGAAGTTAGCCGGACTTCCAGACCGACATATCTTCACAGACTATGATGGAATATCGTTTCGCAGACCCTAAAACTGGAAATATTTTCCCCGGAAGCATGCCTCTGGATGGTCGGACAATTGCCCCCCTCATTAGTTTGGGCTACGCCTCTGTACACATGATGGTCAACTACAAATGTATTGGTACTTAGGCAGTTAGGATGGTTTACACTATCAAAGTTTCTGTGATCACAGTAGGAATTTTGCATAGATAAATTTTGAAGGATTTGTAAGAAATGTTTGAGGAAACCGACTCAGTATTAAACAATGAGTCAATCCCTTAAAAATTTCTTACAAATCCTTCAAAACTTAGAATGGACCATTTGCATTATAGACTAAATTTCGATCTACACAAAAATTTCATCACAGTTCGAAAGAGCATCACAAAATTAGTAATATTCCAAAGTTTCGTTGCGAATTCTTGTAAAATGCGGATAATATAGCCTTGCGAAGTTTGCCGTTTTTCAGTCATTTTGTATTACGCACGGGAAATTGACAGCCCAATCGGGTGTTGGGGCATCAATTTCCCGTTTGTAATACAAAATGACTGAAAATTGCAAATTTCGCAAGGCTATATTATCCGCATTTTACAACATTTCGCAACGAAACTTTGGAATATTACTAATTGATGCGAGCAAATGATGCTGAATGTTTCACATCTATTTGTCACAAAATACAAGTTGAATACGTATATAGTGACCAATTTTGTCACTCTCATAACTGTCTTTCATTTTAAAGTTGAGCATCAGTTCATGTGCTGTACTTGTCACACTTCGTAAATCCACCAGCACTATCTCATTCATATTCACCGCTTGCTTGATATATATACTTTTCTATTAACATTGTAAATTGTTGTACAGCGCAATATTTGCACTTGAAGAAATTAAACTCACTGAAAGAAAAAAGAGCATGGAGAGGTAGTACATGTCTTTGAATGTGGGCTACACTCCAGGTGATCTCGTGTTCGTATTTTAGCCAATCAGCGCTCAGAAAGGATTGTCCGAATAGAAATCCATTTTGATGTATTCAGACAATTATATCTTTCATTATTCTTTATGAAACTAGTTGAAATTTTGTAATTATGTTTGGTTTGGAACTCACTGCTGAGTTAACCATGGTTAACTATTATAGCTCTGACAAAATATGGAATCGAAATAAAGTATATTACAGGAGATATTCAGTTGTTTTAATCATAAAATGGATTTCTATTTGACAACTAGTGCCAGTATTTTTCCGCGTATCAAGATCACCTGGTGAAGTGATTTAACGTTATAAGGAGTCACTGCTGGGTTAAATGTTGTTGAATGTGGACTACCTAGACTGCTGAGTTAACTATGGTTAGGTCATACAAAGGTAGCACATACTCTTGAATGTGGGCTAACTTGTAGTAATCTGATGTTGCACGGAACTCACTGCTGAGTTAACCATGGTTAGATCATACAGAGGTAGTGCATGTTCTTGAATGCGGGCTGTCTTAAAGTGATCTGATTTTGTATTGAACTCACATGTGTGAGTAGAGTTATTCTCTCTGAGTTGACCATGGTTAGATCATACAGAGGTAGTACATGTTCTTGAATACACCTTAAAGTGATCTGATGTTATATATAACTCATGTGAGTAAAGTTAAATCTCTCTGAGTTAAGCATGGTTAGATCATGTAGAGGTAGTACATCCTCTTGCATATTATGGGATACCTCAATAAACATTCCGTAATTCAAGAATCATAAGGGAGAGACTCCCACTCACTTGAGCTGTCAACTCAATACATTCTGGATCCCGAATCACTTTGGCTATGGTGTCTCGCTTTCATGTCTGTGACATCAATGACCAATATCTCAATCACGAAAACAACGCTCTATAGCCTAGGTGACGCACTTTCCTGAATCATCTGTTGTCGTGTGAAACTCGGCCAATCAGTACACGCCTATAGTATAGGATTCAAAAATATGGTAGTCACGTCTATAATATCTGCATGACGTAATGATTCACCATTCCCAACTGCCCACGCAAACGTTGGGGTCAGACACCTTTGTTATTTTGAGATATTTATAAATAAGATCCTATTACAACAGAGAGTCTACTGGATGTCTCCATCAGTTCTAAACTGTTCACCCTAGAGGTCCAGTAAGAGTCATCTCTATTGATCCAGTGTTACTATACAGGAGGAAACCTAACCTAAACTAACTTTATTTATACTGGATAGCTCCATTAGTTGCCAGATTAGTCGTCAGAGAAAGGAAATCTGCGCATATAACACCGGTACTTTCTAATCTCCACTGGCTTCCTGTGCAACAACGAGTGACTTTCAAACTCCTTTTGGTGACCTATAAAGCTCTTAATGGCATTGCCCCTTCATACATCACCGATCTACTTCGTCGTCATATCCCTGCCCGTACTTTGCGCTCCAGCAGTCAAAATTTGTTAACTGTGCCTAGAGTGCGAACAGAGACATATGGCGAGAAGTCTTTTTCCTGCGCTGCTCCGAGACTCTGGAACAATCTTCCTGACTCTATTAAGCAAAGTCCAACTGTCGATGAGTTTAAGGCAAAGTTGAAAACATATCTTTTTAGGATAGCTTTTACTGAGTAACTGTTTTTAGATCTTTAGATTCTTGTTGTAAAAAGCATTGAGACTCATGTATAATGCGTTTTAAAGAACAATTATATTATTATTAAACTGTTCTTCGTAGATATCCAGTAAGGATCATCTCTTATCGATCCAGTGTTAATACTACAGGAGGAAACCTAACCTAAACTAACTTCATTTATACTGGATAGCTCCATTAGTTCTAAACTGTTCTCCCTAGAGGTCCAGTAAGGATCATCTCGTATTGATCCAGTGTTACTACAGGAGGAAACCTAAACTAAACTAACTTTATTTATACTGGATAGCTGTATTACTATTAGTTCTAAACTTTCTTCATAGAGGTCCAGTAAGGATCATCTCGATCTTATTGATCCAGTAATACTGTAGGAAGAATCTTATTCATACTGGATAGCTCTATCAGTTCTAAACTGTTCTTCCTACTTCCTAGATATCCAATAAGGATCAACTCTTATTGATCCAGTGTTACTACAATGGGAGTCAGGGGAACCAGGCGAAAACCGGCGTCATTTGGAAGAGTGAAATTGGAAGCACTCCTCTCACATGTGCTATGTGACTGAGGTGAATTTATAAACAGACAAATTGTATATGACAGGAAATAACCCTCATGTCTGTATATTATTGTAGGTATTACCTTGACGTCAATTGGCCATATGTAGTACTTGATTGCGTACCGCTTGCTGTCTGATTTGCATTGGTAATATCAATATTTAGTTTTGAAATGCATTCTGGTATCACTAAGTACTATTCTGCAGAGTTGTTGGTCAACCTGCATTCGGGCATATTGAGAAATCTTAGTAGTCTTATATTTGGTATAATCATGAACTGTCAGTTGCCAGTGTAGAAAGTGCCAATCAAATGAACAAGCTTTCGTTGGTAGAGATGGTAGAGTATGAGGAGAATTTCGAGGCCCTTCGCCAGTGTCAAAATGTATGACGTCGATCACCGCCTGCCCACGTATAAATATGTTGAACAACTGATGCTAATTTGAGTGTCTTTCCTAAAATAACTACTGTGCGTGATTATATATTTAAAAATATTGATCTATTGTGTAGCCAAAACACGTATTAAATCGCCCACACGATCCCCAGCAGTAACCGTTAGCATATGTTCTTTTGCTTTCGTAGCAAATGCAAAGTATGCGATGGCCTATACCGTAGGCTAAGTATCGCAAAGACAGTTGCCAGTTGGGTCTGGCAGATTGAAATTGTCGAGCGTAAATTTGACATTTATTAGAGTATTAGACCTAAACTAGGAACAGCTGCGACTATTATTACGTGTTGTTTCATACTAGTATTAAAGTCGCATGCCTGAAGAATGCTTTCAGTTTGACTCGAAGGAAGTCAAAGAACGCAGCAGGTTTTCTCCAGGTCACTGGTTTCTTCTGTAAGATTCTCCGCAAAGTAAGACTCTCTCCTCCGCAAAACTTTAAGCGAATTACAGCGTCAATATAAACGATATAAACCAGGCGATTAGGAGAAGCGATAGATAGGAGGTGCTATTTTCATATCTTATATTGAAGCTTCGCCTTTTTAAAAAGCCAAGAAAGTTCTGCGGAGGAGAAAGTAGCCACTGTTCTGGAAAAAAATCCGTTCAGAATCAAAAGCGCAATAGTCTTTGTAACCGGAAGTCTTAACTTTGCCTATATTGAGCGCCGGTACGGGAAGTGACCCGACTGTGTTCCGGTTTCGCTCCGAGCATTTCATTCCGATAAAGTTCGATCTGTGAGCGAGTGTTAATTTGCCTCGAAGTCAATCAAAATATAGCGATTCTGACTTGAAAACTTGCTGAGTTTTTTGCACAAACCGTACAGAATTTTATGAAAACGACGTGGGAAGTGTGTGGTAATAGTTTGGAGGCGTTTAAAGAGCTCATCTTGTCATAAAAGGAAGATTTTGTGAAGCATTTTGTAGTCGGCATTTAATACGTAATATGGATTGTTGACTATTTAAATACAATCGGCGCACTTTAGCATGCAAAATATTTTGATGTAGCTGTTGCAATTATCTTTATTCTGTTTTGGGGGGATTCAAAGGTCATCGAAAGTTGCTGGAATATATAATATAGCTCGGGAATATTTCTAGGGCAAAGGAACATTGCATATATCTATGGTAACTGCTCAAAGTCACAGTTTGCAGGTACCATTTTCATAGTATTGGAAACCCTAACGAAAGCTTGCTTTTGAACTTTATTCAGCTGTCGTTATAGGCTATACTGTGTTTAATCACACAGATTATACAGCGATTTTACGAGCGGAAAGTTGGACTCGTTATGCCGAGTTGAATTCTGCGGTGGACGGGTGATTTTTGCTCTTTAATTAAACACAGACTGTTGTTTTGCTAACACACATAAATAATCACGAATTTTGGAGCTGTAAAGGAGTTCAAATTGTACTACAATTCCAGCACGTTTTACCGTAAGCTACAAAAACGGTCGCGGAGTATAATTATTAACAGATTTCAGAAGTCAATTAATATATATTTAATACTTTATCGACGACTTGACGGGAAACCTCTCGTGAACTACGAACGTTTCGGGGGTACAAATATGCTTCTTTGTGGCAAGAAAAAGGCCAGCATTTAACGAGGAATTATGGCATTTCGAAATCCGAAAGGTTCCAGGTCTATTACTGTTGAAAAGGAAGGATATTTATCGGTGAAAAAGAATGGGTCGAACGGCAAACAGAAGGAGAAGGTTTGTCCGTAATATTTTACGATGTTTTTCCGTATATTTGCATGTTTCAATTTGCTGCTGTAAACTTCAGAATGTGGTTATTTGAAAACACAAATTTAAGCGTGTTTTAGTCTAAAATATCGCGTGTTGTAAAGCCAGATTTTCCTGCTGTAAAGCGTATGTCAAATTCGTAAGATGTGTTTATATAAATCGCTATCTTGTACACTCGATTCGCAAAATACACAACGTGAAATCCAACCTATTATTTAAAATTATCATATGCTACATACAAATTGTGTTTTTAAAACCTTTTCTTGTGTTATTGCTGAATATAAACAAGTTATTATAAAGGTCGTCTATCAGATAAAATCGCGTGAATGTCAACGCTTTCATGATACTTCGCCAAAACAGCCATTGAAAGAGTACTAATTTAATCAAAGTATTCCGAAATCGATAATTCGCAACCGACTTCGAACTGTATAAAGTGTGAAGGTTTTGTGGTTTTGTACGTTTTTTTTTATGTACAAATTTAACAGACATTGTTTTGTATTTTATCCAGACATTTGCAAATAGTTTAGGCTACCTTAGCAGGCGTTAGACATGGATTTGCACATATTTATGGAGCCATTTTGGAAAGCCGCATTATATATTGCAACTGTAACTTTTAATCGTTCAATCTATAACTGGCGCTATTACGTTATATTGTATTATACAACACGTTAAGATAGAGTTATTGAAATTGGAGGATTACTCACACCTTCAAAAGTTTCCTGGTTTTTCGAAACTGGTATAAAATTACATTTTTCTCTCTGCAATATAAGGTATGGTATTGCAGTGACGTCTACAGTGAAGAGTTTAGAACTCGTACAGGCATCCAGTATAAATAAATAAAGTTCAGTTTGGGTTTCTGGTTATGTCGTTATGTTCCAGTCACAAGGCTGTTAGGTGTTGTGATTTGGTCGAGAAGAAAGAAAACTATATTTGTCTGTGCAACGGAACAATATTGCAGGAGAGTTTAAATAAGCGACGTTTTTTGACAACACGGATATGTGATGTGCGCATAGTTTAACTGTTAATTATGGCATCAAAAGTTTGCTTGAAATCAAGAACGGCAGTCGCCTGATGTTCACATTCGTGAATGACTGTCTATAATATGTTATTTCAAACTATCATGGCTTGATTTACTGCCAGTCGGCATTTGTGAATAAAAAATGGCACTTCTGTGACCCTATAATCCCATCCTTAACCCTAATGGCCTTGTGAACATAACAATATAACTAGGTTTCTTCCTGGTGTAACACTGGATCGGTAAGGGGATGGGCCTGACTGGACCTCTAGGGAGAACAGTACAGAACCGATACAGGTATTCAGTACAGATGAAGTTAGTTTAGGTTTCACACTGGATCAATAATACTAGACCTCTAGGAAGAACAGATTAGAACTGATAGAGCTATCCAGTATAAATAAAGTTAATTTAGTTTAGGTTTCCTTGTGTAGTAACTCTGGATCAATAAGAGATGACTCTTCCTGGACCTATAGAAAGAATAGTTTAGCACTGATAGAGCTATTCGGTATAAATAAAGTTAGTTTAGTTTATAGGTTTCCTCCCGTAGTGACACTGGATCAATATAGAGATGGCTCTTACTGGACCTCTAGGGAGAACAGTTTAGAACTGATAGAGCTAGCTATCCAATATAAATAACATTAGTTTAGTTTAGGTTTCCTCCTGTACAGTAACACTGGGAGAACAATTTAGAACTGATAGAGCTATCCAGTATAAATAAATAAATATAGTTTATTTTGATTTTTTATTAGGCTTGGCAGCAAAAATACATTGTTTTACGCAAGTCGTTTGGTGACGGAACCTTCTTGGAATGGTATGAAAATTTTGAAGCATTCATAGGGCACAAACACTCAAAAAAACTTCAATTAGATGGAATTGATTACATTGGGCCTGTTAACATGGGCAAAGACTACAGCTACGCCTTTATCTTGTTTGGCGAGGGACAAAACAAGTTGCAGATGGCTGCAAAGAATGAAACAGAACGTTCAGAGTGGATTAAAGCTCTCAATCAATGTCTGCAGAATGGTCGGAAGTCCAACCCAACCTCTCCGACAATACAGCGTAGCAGTAGCAGTAGCAGGACTGGTACAGGTCAGTCTCGAAATTATACATTCCACCAATGTAATTGAGGAGCCAATTACACAATACCGGATTCGCCTGTCATAACATCGAATTAACCATTTCAGGAACCACTTAATTACACTTGCGATTATATGACAAAATAAGATGAAAGTTGTCAAGGGGGTAAAAATTAATGGAAGACATTATCCCTAAGAAGCATATGTTTATGTTGTACCAACTGAATACTACAATCACAGAGTACTAGATCCATCCAGAGGCAAGTGTTCTAAAGAGAGGCCTGCATTCACCCTCCTGGAACATTAAATTTTAATATGTTTCCAGGGGGGTAACAGCCTCTCTTTAGGGAGATCTCTGTATGATATTTACTCTGATTTTTTTTCTGTGTTGGTGTTATATACTCAGGTGAATATGATGCTTGTGATGTTAATCTGAGTGTATATCCGCACCGGGCAAGCTTGAAAAATATGCCTGGCCACGGTGGGAATCGAACCTACGACCTTTGGAATACTAGCCCAATGCTTTGTCAACTGAGCTACGCGGTCAGGTCAGTTTGAGTATGTGATTGAACTGAGTCTAGTTCCTTCAATATCAATCCAGGCATATTTTTCAAGCTTGCCCGGTGTGGATATATACTCAGAGTAACATCACAAACATGATATTTACTCTGTGCTGCAATACTGGTTTTCGAAAATGTAAGTATTTGTATATCCGATACAACACGGACGCGAATGTTGAATGCATTCGTATTCTTCAACAATTTTAAATAAATGAATGATATTTTTTGAGAAAATTGATCTCAAAGTTTATGTACCTGTTAATCAGCATGATTCTGCATCAGATATACAAACCTCTTCACGCTCATGATTTATTTTCTGTTTTCTTCATGAATTATCAATGAGTTTCACAATAAATTATTAAGCTATTTAGTTGTATTATGGCCTACTTTACTCTGCCCAATGCCAGACAAAGGGAGAGTGCTGTTGCTCAATGGGTTAACTAGTTAACTTTCATTTCAGGCTATCCAGTGAAATTAAAGGACTATACATGCACATCCATCCAGGACATCTTACAGGACGCGAATCGAGATTATGTCCTGTTTGTTGGACCAAAATACATTGCGCTAATCAAAGTCGACAGTCAAGATGAAGAGAAGACTGTTTTGAGCTGGCTGTTAGAAAACATAAAGAGCTACGAAAGTCGACCTTTGGAGCAAAATCCTACACAGAAATTGCTGTCTATTGATACTGGAAGGTCAGTGCAAGAAATGCAAACTGTAATCTACAATCACAACTCTCCTTACAGATATATTTCTAGTACAGACACCTCTCCAAAACAGACACCTCTCTAATGCAGACACCTCTCTAATACAGACACCTCTCTAATACAGACACCTCTCTAATACAGACACCTCTCTAATACAGACACCTCTCTAATACAGAAACCTCTCTAATACAGACACCTCTCTAATACAGACACCTCTCTAATACAGACACCTCTATTTACTCTCTAATACAAAAACCTCTCTAATACAGACACCTTTCTAATACAGACATCTCTCTAATACAGACACCTCTCTAATACAGGCACCTCTTTAATACAGAAACCTCTCTAATACAGACACCTTTCTAATACAGACATCTCTCTAATACAGAAACCTCTCTAATACAGATACCTCTCTAATACAGACATCTCTCTAATACAGATACCTCTCTAATACAGACATCTCTCTAATACAGACATTTCTCTAATACAGACTCCTTCCTAATACAGATACCTCTCTAATACAGACATCTCTCTAATACAGACACCTCTCTAATACAGACACCTCTCTAATACAGAAACCTCTCTAATACAAACACCTCTCTAATACAGACACCTCTCTAATACAGACACCTCTCTAATACAGACACCTCTCTAATACAGACACCTCTCTAATACAGACACCTCTCTAATACAGAAACCTCTCTAATACAAACACCTCTCTAATACAGACACCTCTCTAATACAGACACCTCTATTTACTCTCTAATACAAAAACCTCTCTAATACAGACACCTTTCTAATACAGACATCTCTCTAACACAGACACTTCTCTAATACAGGCACCTCTTTAATAGAGAAACTTCTCTAATACAGACACCTTTCTAATACAGACATCTCTCTAATACAGAAACCTCTCTAATACAGATACCTCTCTAATACAGACATCTCTCTAATACAGATACCTCTCTAATACAGACATCTCTCTAATACAGACATTTCTCTAATACAGACTCCTTCCTAATACAGATACCTCTCTAATACAGACATCTCTCTAATACAGATACCTCTCTAATACAGACATCTCTCTAATACAGACTCCTCCCTAATACAGATACCTCTCTAATACAGACATCTCTTTAGTACAGACTTCTCTCTAGTACAGACTCCTCTCTAATACAGATATCTCTCTAATACAGACCTCTCTAATACAGACACCTCTCTAATACAGACTCCTCCCTAATACAGATACCTCTCTATACAGACACCTCTTTAATACAGTCACCTCTCTAATATAGACACCTCTCTAATACAGACACCTCTCTAATATAGACATCTCTCTAATACAGACACCTCTATTTACTCTCTAATACAAAAACCTCTCTAATACAGACACCTTTCTAATACAGACATCTCTCTAATACAGACACCTCTCTAATACAGACACCTCTCTAATATAGACACCTCTCTTTTACAGATACCTCTCTAATATAGATATCTCTCTAATACAGAAACCTCTCTAATACAGATACCTCCCTAATACAGACATCTCTCTAATACAGATACCTCTCTAATACAGACATCTCTCTAATACAGACATTTCTCTAATACAGACTCCTTCCTAATACAGATACCTCTCTAATACAGACATCTCTCTAATACAGATACCTCTCTAATACAGATATCTCTCTAATACAGACCTCTCTAATACAGACACCTCTCTAATACAGACTCCTCCCTAATACAGATACCTCTCTATACAGACACCTCTTTAATACAGTCACCTCTCTAATATAGACACCTCTCTAATACAGACACCTCTCTAATATAGACATCTCTCTAATACAGACACCTCTCTAATACAGACACCTCTCTAATACAGACACCTCTCTAATACAGACACCTCTCTAATATAGACACCTCTCTTTTACAAATACCTCTCTAATATAGATATCTCTCTAATATAGATATCTCTCTAATATGGACACCTCTCTAATACAGACATCTCTCTAATATAGATATCTCTCTAATACAGACATCTCTCTAATACAGATACCTCTCTACTACAGACATCTCTCTAATACAGACATCTCTCTAATACAGACTCCTCCCTAATACAGATACCTCTCTAATACAGACATCTCTCTAATACAGATATCTCTCTAGTACAGACATCTCTCTAATACAGATATCTCTCTAGTACAGACTCCTCTCTAATACATATATCTCTCGAATACAGACCTCTCTAATACAGACACCTCTCTAATACAGACTCCTCCCTAATACAGATACCTCTCTAATACAGACACCTCTCTAATACAGACACCTCTCTAATATAGACACCTCTCTAATACAGACACCTCTCTAATACAGCTCTCTAATATAGACACCTCTCTAATACAAATACCTCTCTAATATAGATATCTCTCTAATATGGACACCTCTCTAGTACAGACATCTCTCTAATATAGATATCTCTCTAAGACAGACATCTCTCTAATATAGACATCTCTCTAATATAGACATCTCTCTAATACAGACACCTCCCTTATACAGACACCTCCCTAATACAGACATCTCTCTAATACAGACATCTCTCTAATACAGAAATCTCTCTATTTTATGAACTCCTCTCCAATACAGACATGTCTTTAATACAGACACGTCTTTAATACAGACACGTCTTTAATACAGACTCTTCTGTATGGAAATCTACGGACAGTTTGCTGTGTCATTTTGATGTTTGCATTAGAGATGTGCAGCTGAATATGTGTGTATGTTTTCCAGGCGCAGCTCGACAGGCCAAGGGACGTTTAATTTCTTCACACCCCATGGTGATCAAATCAAGAATCAAATTAGTCTAAACACGAAGCGAACGTACCTGACAAAAATGAGCTCGCTGGACAACTTTGGTGTGGACAACCTGTACAGCTCCAGCCCAGAAAGATGCTTTTCAACACCCTCCCGCTCGTTCAGCGTTATGTCTAGTAGTCCACGGCGGACTACCATGTCCTCCAGGGAGGGGCCTATACCCTTCCATAAGTATGACCCACCGACTAATCGAGATAGCTACGCACAATATATTCAGCAGCCAAATGGCTATGTTGACATCTTCACTGACCAAAGGCAGGTTGAAGAAAACCGCATGCGGCAAAGATCTCGCTCCAGTGTCACTTCATCGAAATCACCAAACGCTGATGACCACCCGACGTATGTAGATATTCCTCCCGAAACACAACTGGGCTATGTTCAAGTTTTGCCTAATGGATCAGATGCCGCAAGTCAGTACATTGATGTGCTACCCGAGCACAGCCCGGATTCTAGTGATCATGCCTATGTCGAGATAGTAGGCGAAGACCAAACCCGGCATGATTATGTTGAGGTGTTGGATGATGGGAAGTCACGTGACAAAGAGTTCACTGTTCCTGACGATTATCCAGGCTATCCAGCGTATATCGAGGTGCTCGAGGATGATGAACCAACTAACCAATCGCGTAACGGGGTCATATCACGTGCGGATTCTGATGAAATCTACATTGACGTCGACGAGAATCGTAAAAAGTATGAGTCACGGGAACAACGTTTCGAATCACGTGGACAGCATTTCGAAGCAAGTGAAAAGCATTTCGAATCCCGTGAAGAACATGTAGAAATACGTGAACATTTCGAATCACGCGAGGAACACGTAAAAACAAGTTATGAATCACGTGAAGTACATGTGACACACAACAGCTTGTCACGTGATAGTCACCACGAGTTACGTCGAACACGCGAGAGTACAGCAAGTGCCAGTTCTCCTTCGCCGAGATGGCCACACAGCGTGACTTCTCAAACAAGCACAGAGTTCGGTAGTCTTAGCAGTGAGAACGACGTCTTTCAAGATCGAGAAATAAACATGGTGCCAGAAGTGTTTGTAGAAGCATCGGAAAAAACCGAAGATATTCCGACTAGATCCGACATTGCTCCGACGAAGTCTGATGCTCTTCCGACGAATTCCAACAATGATTGTTCAAAACTTGACGACACTTCACTGAGGTGCAAAAACAGTTTAACCAAACCTCCGTTAACGCCGAGAAAACCAACCTTGACGGCGTCAAAATCGGCCTCGCTTCCGACAAAATCCGAGGGGCTAGCGTCAAACGGCGATGTCAACTCCAAAGATCCAAATGAGAGTAGAAATGACGGGAGTTCTATACCAGGGGATTCTCGTTGTGCCAAAGCAAGAAGCTGGCATAGTGAGAATGAAAATGACCCAACATATAATTCTGGGAATTCCACTTCGACTTCGGAGAGCGAGCATGCTCGAGACTCGCATGATTTCAGTGAGGATGAGGACGTGGGTGACCATTTAGTGTCCGAAGGCCGTAACCGCAGTCATACCGTAGGAGAACTGCAAGGATTAAAGGCCAACGGTAAAGCTATTGACTCCAGTATGCTAATCGCATTAGAAATGTCGTTGACAAACCCGCAACAATTTACCCCCTGCCCAAACAAACACCCACCCCTAGTTAGAGAGACACCGTACACACAAGATCAAATAATCGCCCAACTTGAAAACCCTATCCTAGGAATGAGCAAACTACCAGACACTAAGAAAAGCGCTACGGAGTTTAAATATATTTGTTCACAGTGCGGCTGGCATAAAATATCGAAAAAACGACGATCGTCGCTGAAGCCAACATTCAGAACCAAACAGTGCCCCATTTGTAATAGCCCCGTGAAAGGCCCGAAAAATAAGGACAAGTCTAATGGTGGGTTTTTGAAAAATTTGAAAAGTAAAAGACGAAGTTCGGACGAGAAGATTGATAAAAAAGACCCTGAATTTATGAAACCAGAGAGGCCGACGGCCGTTGCCAAGCCAATCTTCATAAAACAAATGCGCGATCGAACTTTCGTAGGCAGACACAGTCCATCATCGTTGGATCCGAAGAGAAGTGAACTAGGGTTAGCCCCCTCTCCTTTGACTACCATGAGTGCGGTTACAATTGGTGGAGGGGAACCACGGGGGAGTGTGAGCTGTGATGATGGCACCCCCAGTGGGAAGAGTGGTGTCGTTGGGACTCTCCCTGACGGTGGGGATAGTGGTTTAGTTTCCCCCCACAAAACTGCTTTCCCCTCTCCATCATTAAACAGGACTTTGGCACCTTTACCTCCAGGAAATAACCCTCTAGGGCGGACAAAATCTTCCCCACCTCTCGGCGGTGGAGGCGAAGCAGCACACGAGACGCTAGCTGTTGAGGTCCCAGAGAGTGAAAAGATCACACGGAAGAATTCTGGTTTGACTTTGCCAACATTGCCTGAAGTCGAGGTACGTATGGCTGAGTTTCGCTAAGTACTGTCGTCATGGTGATCAACCTGTTGTTATCAGAGTGAGAAAATAATGTTCATTAGTTTAGGTTTCCTCCTGTAGTAACACTGAATCAATAAGAGATAACTCTTACTGGACGTCTATAGGAAGAACAGTGCAGAACTGATACATCTATCCCGTATAAATAAATAAATAAAGTTAGTTTAGTTTAGGTTTCCTTCTGTGGTAACACTGGATCAATAAGAGATGACCCTTACTGAACCTCTAGGAAGAACTGTTTAGAACTGGTAGAGCTATCCGGTATAAATAAAGTTAGTTTAGTTTAGGTTTCCTGCTGTAGTAACACTGGATCAATTAGAGATGATCTTTACTGCACGTCTAGGGAGAACAGTTCAGAACTGATAGAGATATTCAGCATAAATAAAGTTAGTTCAGTTTAGGTTTCCTCTTGTAGTAACACCTGATCAATAAGAGATGATACTCACTAGACCTCTAGGAAGAACAGTTTTAGAACTGGTAGAGCTATTTGGTATAAATAAAGTTAGTTTAGTCTAGGTTTCCTCCTGTAGTAACACTGGATCAATAGATCAGGTACAACAGGATATTACTGGACCCCTATGTAGAACAGTGTAGAACCGGCAGAGCTATCCAGTATAAATAAAGTTAGTTCAGTACTTCAGTAGTATAGTGTTACTCCGTTTATAAACCATATCTATACTATTTTCAGGATCCAGGTGACCCCAATCGCCAAACCTGTCTAACCCCTGCCACTCCCCCTCCCATGATTCCACCAAGAACACGTGCCCCACCCGTCCCCCCTCGTCGAGGGAGCAGCCCCCTGGCCACCCCCCGTGAAGATAATACGCATAAACTACGGCGAACTCAAACTGATCCAACCTTCCCGTTGCCGCCACGATCACCACCTCAGGTTAGATGCATGCATTACTTATTTAAATGTTTAAAGGTACAGTTCAGCCTTTCGAATGATGGTTTTTAAGGCGCATTTCGGGCCTTTTCATAATCTGAAAAAACTAACTAGGAAAATCAATTATGTATAATTCAAGATCAGTGAACTCAATGTTTTTAACAATAAAAATGTTTTAAAGTGTTAAAAACATTAAGATTGCTGATCTCGAATTATGCTTAATTGATTTTCCTAGTTCAATAGGCAATTCCAGCTTTTAGTTTATGCGTGCAGGGGACGATGGGAAGTAAGGTATCATATTGCTGATTATGCTGAAAAAATAAAAATGGTGGCCGTGTAAACACGGAGTGATAGCTTTACTTGTAAATATTGAAATATTTCGGTTGTTCCGGTAGTTTTTATTGAAATTTTTCAGCATAATCAGCAATATGATACCTTACTTCCCATCATCCCCTGCAGGCATAAACTAAAAGCTGGAATTGGAAAAACCATCATTCAAAACGCTGAACTGTGCCTTTAAAGATCCTTTGGTCACCGTGTTCAAGGCTTGCTAGATGCCTTCTGGATGCCGCAATAGCCACGGCGGATTGTCGCTATATAAGGATGCTGGATTTCGGCATAGTTTATAGCCACAGCGGTTTATAGCCATATAAAAAAATGCCGGATTTCGATACGCTTCATAGCCATGGCGGTTTGTGATGATGCCTGATTTCGGCATACTTTACAGCCACGGCGGTTTGTCGCTATATAAAGGCTGATTTACATTGCACAAGTTTTGCCTACAACGTTTGCGAGTTCTGTGCTTGATTTACACAGTATAACTCAAGTCGTAAGCACGATTGCATGCGACATTTTTATGTAAAAATTGTGTACTGTTAATCGGCCTTAAAGGATGCCGGAATTCGGCATACTTAAGTTTCTCAACTTTCATTGCTTGATCAAAGAACAAGAGTTGCATGAGAATTGATAAGCGAGAGTTTACGTGAGAGTTTTCTCAACTTTCATTGCTTGATCAAACGCGAACAAGAGTTGAATGAGAGTTGACAAGCGAGAGTTTTCGTGAGAGTTTTGTCAACTTTCATTGTGTGATCAAACGAGAACAAGAGTAACATGAGAGTTGACAAGCGAGAGTTTTCGTGAGAGTTTTGTCAACTTTCATTGTGTGATCAAACGAGAACAAGAGTTGCATGAGAGTTGAGAATCGAGAGTTTACATGAGAATTTTGTCAACTTTCGTTGCCTGATCAAACGAGAACAAGAGTTGCATGAGAGTTGACAAGCGAGAGTTTACATGAGAGTTTTCTCAACTTTCATTGCTTGATCAAACGAGAACACGAGTTGCATGAGAGTTGAGAAGCGAGAGTTTACATGAGAGTTTTCTCAACATTCATTGCTTGATCAAACGAAAACAAGAGTTGCATGAGAGTTGAGAAGCGAGAGTTTGCATGAGAGTTTTCTCAACATTCATGTTGATTGATCAAACGAGAACAAGAGTTGCATGAGAGTTGACAAGCGACAGTTTACATGAGAGTTTTGTCAACTTTCATTGCTTGATCAAACGAGAACAAGAGTTGCATGAGAGTTGACAAGCGAGAGTTTACGTGAGAGTTTTGTCAACTTTCATTGCTTGATCAAACGAGAACAAGAGTTGCATGAGAGTTGACAAGCGAGAGTTTTCTCAACTTTCATTGCTTGATCAAACGCGAACAAGAGTTTCATGCGAGTTGACAAGCGAGAGTTTTCGTGAGAGTTTTGTCAACTTTCATTGTTTGATCAAACGCGAACAAGAGTTGACATGCGAGAGTTTACATGAGATTTTTCTCAACTTTCATTATTTGATCAAACACCCGTGTCACATACTCATTGGGTAACCGCCAAGATTTCTAAATTGAGAAGTACGCGCGATACCCAACAAGGATGATCATCTGAACCATCCAATAGACCAATAGTGCCTTCATTTGAACCCTAACCCTAATCTAACCTTAATCTGACCCTATTCTAACCCTATTCTAACCCTTGGTCTAAACCTGACATTTTTTTGAAACTTTCAAATCTTATATAACTGTTTCTGTCTTGCAGCATAAACCCAAAAACCGTATATCACGAACACTGACAGACCCTGGGAAGGATTCCAGTAGTTCAGACAATAATATCCGTAATGCAATCTCATTGGGCAATCTTCTGGAGGATGGTAATGAGGGAATACTAGGGACGAAAGTGGTATCACTATCGCTGGGTGATGACATTGATGGTATTGACGCCGAGGCTCCACCTCCCCCATTGCCGCCAAGACGCGGATCCGGCCAGGCCGCAACACAGCCGCCGCTACCACGTCGAGGTAAGGAGAAGAACGTTTATTTTAAAAGAGGATTAAAGCTAGCTTTTCGCTACACATGCACAAACGCACTAGTTGTAACAAAGCTGCAGCAGATTTGTACCAGTGCTGTTCCAACAACTTGTCATCAGGATGTGTTCGCATTGCTTGTTCCCAGCTTGTTCACAAGTTGCTACAAGGTTGTTGAGCTCAACAGACTTGATACAAGGATACAACAGACTTGATATATAGGGCCCCTATGGATACCAGCTTAGTGCTGAATGGGTCACCCTGCTAAAATAAAGTTATATTATCTTACAAGTTGTTCCAACAATTTGTTATCGCGCTGCAATTCAATTTGTCAACAAGTTGTGAGTGACATCCTTGTAGCAACTTGATAAAATAACAACATTGTTGCAACTTGTTGACAAGCTTGCCGGAAGCCTGTTGCGAACACATCTTGTTGATAGTTGGGAGATAATCTCACAACTAGTTGACAGGTCGTTGACGAAACAAGCTTGCAGGAAGCTTGTTGACAAGTTGTGGCAAGCTTGTTATTTCATCAAGTTGTAACAAGCTTGTTGCCATCAAGCTTGTTACAACCTGTTGGTTTGCAGACTTGCAGCAAGTTTTTGGAACATCTTGTAACAAGCTCGTTGACAACAAGACAAATCACACTTGTTGGAGCAACTTGTTGTGGTCGTCAAGTTGTAACAAGTTCGTTTCAGCGAGCTTGTAGCGAGGCTTTGTTTAGAAGTCTGTACCAAATCTGCCAACAAGTACACACGTAAGATCGCACAAGTTGTTACAAATCTGTTCACAAGCTGTCGACAAGTTGTGTTCGCACTGCTTGTTCCCAGTTGTTCTAACAAGTTTGGAACAAGCTGTTAACAACTTGTAATAAGCTTGGTGGCATTATCAGACTTGTTGCATAGTTGTTCTAACAAGTCTGATACAGTCATGATATAACCAGAATGTTACAAGGTTGACGACACAAGGTTGTGACAATATTGTTATATCCCGACTATATCGGACTTGTTGGAACAACCTTGCAACAAATCTGATAATACCAACAAGGTTGTTACAAGTTGTTAACAGCTTTTTCCAAACTTGTTGACAACATGAGACAAACAAGCAGTGTGAACACAACTTGTTCATGCGGCTTGTTAGCAGACTTGCTACAAGATGTGAGATTACCTACGCGTGTACGCAAAGCGCGGCTTTTGATTCCTCAAATGCGCTTTACATCAAGTACTACGCTTACCCGAATTACATTTGTAGCCTAGACTGTTTTATCTTTACAACAATTGCGATAATACTTTCTTAACTGTGTTCATCCTAACCCACCCTGTCAACTTTCGAGTGATTACAACATGAGTTGTATGTACACACATAAAAACGCACAATTTCTAACAAACCTGTAGCAGACTTGTAGCAATGCTGTTCCAACAACTTGTCAACAGGATGTGTTCGCATTGCTCGTTCCAAGCTTGTTGACAACTTGGGACAAGCAATGCGAACACAACTTGTTCACAGACTTGCTAACAAGATGTGAGATATGTTTGCGATGTTACTCTGAGTGCATATCCACACCGGGCGAGCTTGAAAAATATGCCCGGCCACGGTGGGATTCGAACCTACGACCTTTGGAATACTAGCCCAATGCTCTTCCAACTGAGCTACGCGGTCAGGACGGTTCGTGTAAGTGATATTTCGGAACAGTATCTAGTTCCTTCAATACCAATGTGTTCTAGTAATATGATTTTTTTTTTGTGTTGGTGTTGTGTACTCAGGTGAATAATATGTTTGCGATGTTACTCTGAGTGCATATCCACACCGGGCGAGCTTGAAAAATATGCCCGGCCACGGTGGGATTCGAACATACGACCTTTGGAATACTAGCCCAACACACAAAAAAAAAATTCATATTACTAGAACACATTGGTATTGAAGGAACTAGATACTGTTCCGAAATATCGACCGTCGCTCGAATTGAAGCGTGGTAAGATAAAACAATCCGTAACAGTATATTCAGCTACCAGTCTTCACTCAAGCTATCGCAAACATATTATTCACCTGAGTACACAACGCCAACACAAAAAAAAAAGATGTGAGATTTTTACGCTTGTGGGCAAGTCTAGTGCTTGATTTACGCATTATAACTCGAGCTGTAAGTACTAGATAAAACATGAGCAGCCCATCTGTATCTGATATACAAAAAATGACCCATCTTATGAGTTCATTGGCGAAGTAATTTTAAAAATAAACATTGTAAAATCAAAGCTTAAGTTTATGTAAATCAGGACAAATCTTTATCCGATTTACAAACATTGATTAAACATTCATTTCTTTTGTATTTTCCTCGTGAATTATTAATGAATTTTTTAAAGGTCCAGACACACCGGACGCGATTGGACAACGCGACGCAATTTTTCGATTTTCACTGACCGATAACTTTAATCCTAGTTTAAACTTTCCAAATACTTAGAAGCGCTATAACATTTTGAGTTATTTGTTCTACATATCTTTCAAAATTTGCTCTCATTGGTTGTTTTATTAACTTTCGCGTCGCGTTGTCGAATCTCGTCCGGTGTGTATATATGGACCTTAAGCAGTACGAGTATAACTCGAGTTATTATTATTATTATTATTACAACATGTTTATACACGGTAACTAATCAACCACACTGCGAAAAATGAAAAGCTTATTTTAAGAAAAAAAAACTTGTTCTGAGCAAAAATTTCTTAATTATGCAAAATTATCTTGTCCCATACATAGGAAAATTTTTCTAGATAAGATTTTCTTGATCGAGAAAAATTTTCTTGATTTGACAAATTTAATCTTACCAAGAAAATTGATTTAAGATAATTTTTCTTTTTGTCCCATACATAGGAAAATATTTCTTGGCTAGAAAATTATTCTTGATAAAAGAAAAATAATCTTACAAAAATGGAACGAACCTTACTAAAAATCTTAGCAAGATTAGTATTAATCTTACCAAGATAAATATAAATCTTATTAAGATTTTTGAAACAAGAAAACTTATATACACTTGCTTGAACTTAAAAGATAATTTTTCTCAAACCTAAGATTATTTTTCTAAAGACAAGATAAATAATCTTCAGGTAATGATATAACCTTTCTAACCACTTTATACCAAGTTAAATTTTCTTGAAATTAAGTTTTAAATCTTGAAACAAGAAACAATGCCTTGCGTCAAGAAATAATATCTTCATTTAAGAAAAACTAATTTTACATGTTTCTCAACGTAGAAATAATTTCTTAAACCAACATAACTATTCTTAAAACAAGAAATATAATCTTGATATAAGAATAATTATCTTAAATTAAGGAAAAAAAATCTTGCCAAGTATTTCATTTTTTGCAGTGCATATCACCTATCAGTATTTACAAAAATTATAAAGGTTGTTTTTCATTAGGCCGTGTTACTAAATACAAATTAAAACTCGAAATACTATTATATAAACTATTATAAAAATATTAAAAGATACTAAGAAATGTTTGGGTCGAAGCGATACGTTAAATATATATATTACAAATGAATTAAGTAGATTTAAAATTTTTACTATTATAGTTCCAGTCTTTAGCAGCTGCATATCCGAATGTCCTTTTCATTGAATTTGTTTTAGTAAGTTGAGTTTTTCTTATCTGAAAGTGTTTATATTGCTTTTAGTATCAAACGAACATGAAAGACTGGTGAACAGTTGTGACTCGCCTAGGATTGAACCCCGTACCTCCGCCGAGGTAAGTAGTAGCGAGGTCATTCATTCTTTCTGTTCCTCTTTTTTGTTGTGCTGCACACTCGTCAGTGCATTTTTTAAGGATTCTTCAGTGGTGGGCCCATTTTCCTTGTCCTCCACCCAGGATAGTATGCGATCACTGAAGGGGTGAGCCGAGTACAGCAGGCTCGAGTTAGGTACCCCAGGAAATTTTTAAAATTTGGGTCTCTGAAATAACATTTCCTGCATTCTGAGAACACATTTTTAAAAAAATCTCAGCTTCTCAAAACAAAGTTTTAATGGTGAAATTTGTAATAAATTGCATGCTAAACATTCAAACACAACATAAGTTTAAGTATGCTTACCAACAAATTTTGTTTTTTAAGCTTCTTTTCAATGTTAAATTCATTTACTCAAATATACAGGTCATAGGGCCCTGGCTTTGGGGCAATAGGCCATTTTTTTTCAGTGGTGGGGCAGAGGAAGGGGTCCAGTGGGGCAAATGCCCCACCAGTCCATGGTATTAAAAAATGCCTTGATACTCGTGTTTTATATCTGATAAAACAGTCCTACGGGTGTTTTAAATAGTACTCCACTGTGAGATCATCCCTACGTTTCAACAGTAGAGGAAGAGTGTTTCTAGGCAGGGCAAATATCGAGATTTTGTTTGTTCTACTCGATAATTTTAATCTACAAGACCCTTCAACTGTTATTGAATCGAGTGCAGGAGATGCCAACAGAATCTCGATATTTACCCATAACCTATTAAAGCCGTGTTTACACCACGAGCCTAAGCCTGGCCTAGCTTTGAGTACTGCGAACAGTAAATGGAGCAGCGTGTACGAGAGGTCGAATCTTGGTGAGCTACGTTGCTAAGCCAACCGTTCCGTCGGTATAGTTTTGCCCATCCGCATTCTTAGAGGCAATACATCCGTCTCCCAGCCCTGCTCAAAATGTCAAAAAAAAACTATTGTTCTTTGAATCAGTATAAAAAATTTGTAGTTGACAAATGCAGTATTTGTTAAGTGCTAGTTAAACACGAGTAGGACTGTTTTATCAGATATAAAACACGAAAAAACGACCCATCTGATGAGTATATTGGTGAAGTAATTTTTAAAATAAACTTTGTCTAAGCTGAGAAAATCAAAGCTAAAGTTCATGTAAATTAACATGATTTTTTATCACATATATAAAACCACGGACATAGCAGTGATTTCTTTTGTGTTTTCTTCACGAATTATTAATGAGTTTTTGAAGTACATTTACTGTAGACAACTCTGTATTTTACAGTTTTAAAGTTAACATAGTCTCTTATCCTTTAGATAAAAGCTCAGTATGGTTACAAAGTGACTAAACATAAAACGTTTTATAAAAAGAAATCTTCTATTTGACCGCTAAACTCGTCGTCGTGGTATGATAAACTCGTTAAAACTTTTATTTATATAAAATACATTTAAATAAATTGACAATCGTAATAAAAGTTTAATTAATACGTTGAAACGAAATTACTACTTTTGAACGTGATTCAATAATCGTAAGATTAATTTTAATTGTGATTAATTATTGTGATTAAAAATATTTAGATTAAGATATTAATTTTAATCTGTGATAAACTAAACTAAATAATATTTCTAAACTGTTCTTCCTAGAGATCCTGCATCCTCTTATTGATCCAGTGTTACTACAGAAGGAAACCTAAACTAGACTAACTTTATTTATACTGGATAGCTCTATCAGTTCTAAACTGTTCTCCCTAGAGGTCCAGTAAGAATGGTCTCATATTGATCCAGTGTTACTACAGGAACAGACCTAAACTAAACTAACTTTATTTATACTGAATAGTTCTATCAGTTCTAAACTGTCCTCTCTAGAGGTCCAGTAAGGATCATCTCTTATTGATTCAGTGTTACTACAGGAGGAAACCTAAACTGAACTAACTTTATTTATACTGCATAGCTCTATCTCAGTTCTAAACTGTTCTTCCTAAAGGTTCAGTAAGGATCATCTCTTATTGATCCAGTGTTACTACACGAGGAAAACGAGATTAAACTAACTTTATTTATGCTGGATAGCTTTTCAGTTCTAAACTGTTCTTCCTATAGAGGTCCCGTAAGGATCGTCTCTTATTGACCCAGTGTTACTACAGGAGGAAACCTAAACTAAACTAACTTATTTAAACTGAATAGCTCTATCAGTTCTAAACTGTCCTCTCTAGATGTCCAGTAAGAGTCATCTCTTATTGATCCAGTGTTACTACAGGAGGAAAACGAGATTAAACTAACTTTATTTATGCTGGATAGCTCTATCGGTTCTAAACTGTTCTTTCTAGAGGTCCCGTAAGGATCGTCTCTTATTGACCCAATGTTACAACTACAGTTACTACAGGACAAAACTAATCTAACGTTACCATAACGTGACAAATTCTATCGAATTTCAGGCTCGACGTCCTTTACCAGAAAGAACACCGCTCCCAGGAAGTGGGACTCGAAAGCTTCCTTTGTCAACAAAGCGAAGTTTAGATGCAAGACGAGATTTTCAAACAAGGAAGCCTCTGTACAGCACACACGTAGGCGATTTATAATAACGTTATAATAGTAAATATAATAGAGAGTGGGTTGGATATGGGAACGATATCTTTCATGTAAAATGCTGTGGGGTTTTCAGGCTCATTTTATACTTTGCTCCCTAGCTAACTCTAGCTTTAAAAGCTTTGTAATTCTTCACCCGTATTTTTATATGAAAGGATTATGAAAGCTTATGACTTCGTATTTATAAAGATCAGGCTTTTAGCTGTCATTTGACAGCTTCATTGAATCATTCCGATAAAAGATTACAAAAGACGATCTGATTTAAAGTGGTCGGTTGAAGTCGCATCGTTCCACATTTAGGATTTAAATTTTTTTTGAATATTTGCCCAAATGTTTGTTGCTCATTTGGGAAACGTTTGCGAGTCCAGTCTGCAAACTACCAGGGGGGCCGATTGTATAAAACACTTAATCACTTTTTAATCACTATTTTGTAGTTAAATAGTAATTAAAGGACATTGGCAATAAAAAAAATAGTTTGTCTCATTCAAAAGAACTCTTAAAATTATATATTAAACTCTATTACCGATTTTTCATATCTTGCTCAGTTCTCGAAATATTTAGACCGAAATTAATGAGCTTTCCGCCATCTTGGAAAAATTCTTTACCTCATTAACTATGGTTTTGATGACGTCAGGAGTTGGGTTAACCATATAAAACTACTCGAAAATGATCGAATAACAATCCAAAATTGTTTGAAATGTTTTTAATCATTTCTAAATTTCTGACAGCAACCAGAAACGAAGTTTTGGACCCATATTGATCGCTTGCTCTCAAGATAAAAAATTAGCGTGACCCCTCTCTTGACGTAACATGCATATCCTCAATAATCCAAGATGGCGAACAGCTCACTTTTTTCAGTCGAAATATTTTGAAAACTAAGCAAGATATAAACAATCTGTAATAGAGTTTAATATATAGTTTTAAGAGTTCTTTCAAATGAACTAAACTATTTTTTTATTGCCAATGTCCTTTAACTCTCAAATACGCACTTCTTATTGGATGATGTTTCCACTAACTATAGTTAACTTTAATCACTTTTTATACAACCTGCCCCAGTTCTGTAAAATGTTTTAATCACTCAATAGACCTTTCCCCTTATTACCAAAATTTTGATCTAGGCAAGTCTAGACAAATGTTTCATCACAGCTTGAAAGAGCATCACAAAATTAGTAATATTCCAAAGTTTCGTTGCGAAATGTTGTAAAATGAGGAAAATAGAGCCTTGCGAAGTTTGCAATTTTCAGTCATTTTGCATTACAAACGGGAAATTGCAGCCCCAACACCCGAATCGGATGTCAATTTCCCGTTTGTAATACAAAATGACTGAAAAACGGCAAACTTCGCAAGGCTATATTATCCGCATTTTACAAGATTTTGCAACGAAACTTTGGAATATCACTAATTTTGTGATGCTCTTTCAAGCTGTGATGAAATTTTTGTCTTGATCGAAATTTTAGTTATAAGGGGAAAGGTCCATTTCGATGCAAAATTGCAAGTAGAAATTTACCAAAACTTGATGTTTACACAGGCGTTGCGCCATCTTGATTCAAACGATTTAAAATCTGAATCCGCAATGAGAATAATTTCAATACTCAGACAATAGCTTTACAAGCAATTCCTATACGGTGGGAAAATCCGATTTCGAGCGGCATTTTTTAATCGTATCATATTTGGCTATTTTTTATCTCAATGATACAAGAAAGTATACGCATTCGACCGTTAAAAGCCTGATCTTTATTGGTATGAAGAAAGTAAATGGATTGAAAGGTAATATATAATGCACGATAACAAGTCAATTATTGCAACGGAGGGATGTTGTTTCGCTCAACTTCTGAGAATTGTGCACGAGGTGCTTTTTCGCGCTGTAAAGGAAAGCTATGCGGTTTAGAAACGGATGTGAATTTTGCGGGGGCCACCTCTTCCCCGAAGTTAGAGTTTATGACACGTAGGCTATACCTTGCCCTTGGACGAACTTGGCCAAAGAAAAAGTAGTTCCTCTCGTAATTTGTCTGTGACAGTGTGTTAATTTAAGAGGATATTTGTTTGTATGTCACGTCATACGCGCTCAAAACTGATTAATATACTTTTCCACTTGCTTATAACTATATTCAAAATTTTTACTTTTCGACACGTTTCTTCATCGGCAAACAGACTTTAAAGTATGTTTAGTGCTTTATCTGCGATACCATGCTGAAATAGAGAGATTTTAGATGGTCCGCCAAAGAGAAAATGATGTCTGAAGTTCAGTAAGTTTTGCTTATAATGCTGTAAATATGGCGTCACTTTTAATTAGCCATTCCAAAGTTGATGAATGGACTGAGAACGAGTGTTAAAAAGTGCCCAAATTAAGAAATGAACCGAATCACTAAAAAGACCACCTCAAAATTAGCAAGTATACAAAGTTTGAAGACGTTTACATCCTTCGAATTCGAACAATAAGCTTTCGAAAATCGTGGTATTAACTATGAAATGTATTGTAATTTTTATTTTTGGGACACGCGTCCCAAAAACAATCTTTTAATCAGTAATTTTACAATTTTCGAAAGCTTATTATTCGAAGGGTATTCATGTAAACGTCTTCAAACTTTGTATACTTACTAATTTAGAGATGGTCTTTTTAGTTATTTGGTTCATTTCTTAATTTGGGCACTTTTTAACACTCGTCCCCAGTCCACTCATCAACTTCGGAATGGCTAATTAAAGCATCATTGAGAATTGTATGTTAATTGACAATTTTTTCCAATTATTTTATGTTAGTCTAAATCGCAAATACGTGACATTGAAAAAATGGCCTCTTTATTATTACGGCAAACAGACGGAAGATGAACTATCTGCGTAGTTCATCATCTTGGTCCCCTTTTCACCCTCATTACCCTTTGTCACCACCCTTTGTTCCCGTGAGTAATTAACGAATTAATTAAGTAAGTGAGTTAGTAAGTATCGTTTATTTAGCCACGCAGAATGCCTTTATTTAAGAATTTGGGACAATGTAGCAAATTGTATGAGTGTAATTTCGATGAAATGACATTTATAGGACATGTAGTAATTTTTAGTATATTTTTGACTATGTATAAGTTGTGTATATTTAGGTGTATTTGTATTGGACAGATTGTTAAGACTTATTTTGTCTGTTCTTAACGAGTTGATAATAATTATCAACCATTGTGAACTCTTTTAATTATTGGTAATAAATATGGCGTCGAAAACAACATGGCGTTTTTGGTATGTTCGTATTTGCATGTGGCAGAATAGATCACGCTATTCAACCGAAATTGGGCTACTAGTGTTTAGACTGTACTGGATAGATTTAAGTCATGAAAAAAATACCTTATCCGTACCTTTTAGGAACGCTATTTTTTTTACAGAAATTAGATATTGCAACGAATAGATGTTGTTTCGCTCAGCTTCTGAAATTTGTACATTCCGTGTCGCATAGGCGTTTTTTCGCGCCGCAACCGAAAACTACCCGCGGTATGGTGTAATCTTGTCTTGTGATCATTTGTTAAATCAGGACAATTACATCAGCGGAACTATTTCAATATATGCATATTAATTATTATACGCACGCAATGACATGCTGAATACCACATAATTGACGGGAAAACACTTATATTATTGTAAACAGTCTTACAATATTGATAACCAAAGCTTTTTAAAAGAGTTCGAAAAGGCGGTTGCCCGGCTACATAAAGAAAAGAGCCTTTGGCTTTGATGTGAGTGCTTGCTCGGCAGACAACACATATTCATTCGAAAGTTCACGCGAGACGGGCAAAGTAACAAAACTAAAGCTACATACAGAAGTCGCGATAATGGGTTTCTTCGACGCGTTCCGCGATAAGCCTTCTGCTACGAGATACGGAGATATTCACACCACGGCAAATTTTGATGTCTTTGATGCGACACTTGCTTATGTATTCTGTGCATTGGGCTTCTCGTTTCTGATCCTACTACCTGGTTACATGTTTAAAGAGGTATGATGACGTCTTAATTACTATGGGCGCTATACGTTCACATACATCAGTGCCAGTCAATCTGTCCTGATCGGATGACTAAAATATAGTCGAAACGTAGATTCATTAAAGCTACAAAATGTTATTTGGAGTCCTTTTGTATTTTAGTGCGAAATAATGTCGTCAAAATTTACTTGTGTTCACACAATGCTGTTACAGTTTGTTTACAAATTATTAAATTAGCACTCATGTGAACCCAAAATACTTCAGATAGAGCAAAGAAATTTCAACGAAAAGCATTCGAATTTCCTGTTTTGAGAGCTGAGATGCTTGGTTTGCAAGCGGTACAAAAAAGTAACGGCGTTTGTGTTGACACGAAGCCGCCAAGCGCTCCGTTTTCATCGTCTCGCTCCGTTTAGAAACCGCGCCGAAATTGGTACGGCAAAAATGACGTTTAAATCTATAGTTGACTTTGTTGATTCGAAGAATTTTCTTGAGTATAATATAGAATATGGTTAGCATTTAACCATTTTTACAACGGCGTTTCGTAAAATTATATAGGAACTTCAAAGAACTTTAAATCGTCCGAAGTTAGACCGGATAAAACACGTTTATCTGTTAAGAGTTAAGAAGATAGTTTTCAACTATTAAATAACTTTTCCCATTCGAGAACTTTCGCATGGACAAATAAAATCATCTGGTGTTATACAGAGTTAAATTTTAAGCATGCTATTGCCCAAAAACTGGTATAAATTATCTAAATTAGTATTTTGAGGACACAGCGCAAACCGTTGCATGCTGCACTTGTAAAAATGTCGGTTTCTAAGCCGAAGGGAAGTCGTAATGAAATGTTCCAATTTTAGCAAATAAGGAATGAGCTTAATGCAATTTGGAACAAGATAGAAAATTCTTGTATTCAATGGTTTCCGTTCAAAGACTATTCCTTTGGAGAAGTGAAATATCACTTGCATAAAAAAGCTTTGTGAATTGTGAATTTTAATACTTCCGCCGAAATCACCAAGCTAATTCAAGCATTTATCATCTCACAGAGATGTAAATTAAAATTAGCACATTTCTATAACTGTGGAATATAAGATATTTCAATTAAACAACAAAATTGAGTCGATTATTACATTGTGATTTAGTAACGTACTGATAAAATACAAAATTAATTTAAAGTGCCAACATACATTCAACGGAAATTAAAAGAGAAACATGTAATGTCAATAAATTGATTAATTATGCAAAATGGACCAATTATTTTTGTTGAAGATTTTTAATGAGATAACGCACACGACATCGTACATTTGGGTAAAACAATTTGTGAAATTATGGCCCATCACCAATTATTGAACACAATTTACCATATTAAATATTCTATCTAAAAAACTTTTTTCCCTCCGTATAAATTCCGTATGAACAATGCTGAGAAAATTGCGGGACGAAGATTTTATTCGGTCTGACACCAGATGATTTTGAACAGTATTGAGCGTGATCAGTTCGCCAGCGAGAGTTGCATGAGAGTTGACAAGCGAGAGTTTGCATGAGAGCTCTCTCAACTTTCATTGCTTGGTCAAACGAGACCAAGAGTTGCATGAGAGTTGACAAGCGAGAGTTCGCATGAGAGTTCTCTCAACATTCATTGCTTGGTCTAACGTGAACAAGAGTTGATCAAAGTTGACTGGTTATTACCACGCTTAGCAAAAACTCTTGTTAACATATAAACCAGCTCAAAGTTAGCGAAAGTTGATGAGAGTGGCAGTAATGTTCGTCATGCAAGACTTATAACTTTCATCCCCCTGTCTGGTATGTCAAAGCGTGATCCTATATCAGTTCAGTATATGATTACCACTCTGCAACAAAGAGACTTTGTTCAAATGCGACTTTTAGTGGAAGTGTTTTTTTTACAAAGATCTTTCAAGATTAAAGGTTATTGTTCAAACGTAAAACAAAGAAGAAAATATTTGTTCCAATGGCACGCGTAGTCAAGGATGTTTTGTATCATCAAAGGCTTCGTCATCACATCAGATCCGCCGGTTTTGCTTCCTCGTCAAGAAATAATCCTCCCTGTCCTACCTTGCGTGATCAGACGTGGCTTGCAGGATTGTCGACAGTCAAAAGCGCCCACGTTTTCGCCGCCTCCTTTCAAAGGCGCCCTTGTAATCCTCAGACTGGATCACGTTTGAAGGAAGGATGACTGGAAACACCCCTACCCGTACTAATTAACATAAATAACGACGATGTTAGATAATTTATATTTTATACTTCTTTCCAGCGCATCTCTGTTGCAATTCGAATTTTTCTCAGCCTTTTCATTGGAGCAGCTATTCTGGGTAAACTAAACTAAACTAACTTTATATGAACTGGATAGCTCTTTAAGTATCAGTTCTTAACTGTTCTCCCTAGCGGTTCAGTAAGGATCACTCTTATTGATCCAGTGTTACTACAGGAGGAAACCTAAGTTAAACTAACTTTATTTATACTGGATAGCTCTATCAGTTCTAAACTGTTCTTCCTAGAGGTCCAGTAAGGATCACTCTTATTGATCCAGTGTTACCACAGGAGGAAACCTAAGTTAAACTAACTTTATTTATAGTGGATAGCCCTTTCAGTATCATTTCTAAACTGTTCTCCCTAGAGGTCCAGTAAGGATCACTCTTATTGACCCAGTGTTACTACAGGAAGAAACCTGAACTAAACTAACTTTATTTATGTTGGATAGCTCTATCAGTTCTAAACTGTTCTCCCTAGAGGTCCAGTAAGTGTCGTCTCTTATTGACCCAGTGTTACTACGGGAGGAAACCTAAACTAAACTAGACTAACTTTGTTTTATAAACTAGATAGTTCTATCAGTTCTAAACTGTTCTCCCTAGAGGTCCAGTAAGAATCACCTCATATTGATCCGGTGTTACTACAGGAGAAAACCTAAACTAAACTAACTTTGTTTGACTAAAATGTTTTCTTATTAACAAAGTATTTTTACTTTCAGCCTCTAACTATGGCATGCAATGGGAGAAAAGTTCAGTTGAAACGACAACTCAATACAAGGCGTTTATGAGCCAAGAAATTAAAGCAAAGGTTGGCGTGAATATTGGACTCCGAGGCATTAATGTGACGTTGAAAGGTAGGGATGTTGCGTAGGAGTCAGATAGGATGCCACGTATCGTACTGCAGATCATGATCAACATGCACCAGGGGAGGATCTAGTTTCATCTGCAAGGAGGGGTGCAGGTTTTCCATGGGGTGGTCCATGAGGGAGCCTTACTGCCCACTCTCCTCTGCAATCTGCAACGCTACTATCCCAACATTACCATTATTTGAGATGTTACGTTTTACATTATCTTTACTGAATAGTTTATAAAGTTTATATCGGCTTTTTATCACGTAACCACCATCTGCTATGCAGAAACCCACCAACAGATGGTTTGATGTTAATTTCTGAAAGGCGAGCAATCGCATGCAACAAATGGCGCCAAGTGATCATTGTATTTCTTCATATGTAGGACTGCCCGTTCATCAAAGTTTTGAGAACGAGAAGACGGTGGAACACGTGGATTACAATGAAAAGTTTCGATGGGACTCACCTTGGTCACAGGGACGCCTCGGCTATGGACCTCATGGTATGTTGTACAGTACATGATGGTGGTGATGATGATGATAATGGTGATAATGGTGATGATGATGATGATAATGGTGATGATGATAATGGTGATGATGATGATAATGGTGATAATGGTGAAGATGATGATGATGGTGATGATGGTGATGTGGTGATAGTGGTTGATGGTGATGATGACGGTGATGATGATGGTGATGATGGTGATGGTGACGATGGTGATGATGATGATGGTGATGATGATAATGGTGATGTAATGATGGTGGTGGTGATGGCGATGATGGTGATGATGATTGCGCATGATGATGACTGTGAAGTTATTTCTACTGGATAGTTCTAAACTGTTCTGCATGCGCCGGCTCTTCAAAGCTGCATTAGCGCTAATTCTGGGTTAAAATTTTACCTGCCGTTTTGGTGTGTTTTTTTTTGCATTTCTGTTTATTTCAAAACTCGAGAAAATATAATTTCTGGTGATTCAGACAAAATTCCGAGGGAAAATATTTCCATGTTTATAAGCAAGCCGTTGGGAAGTTGCTTCGAAGAATTGGTTAACCTAGGATTAAGCTGGTTTTTGAACAACCATGCATCTCGAATTCATCCAGTGTTACTACAGGAGGAAACGAGTAGTGTTTGGTGGTCAAACTTAAAGCACTATTCTCACATGTAACTGAGGTAAAATTATAACCACTATAACTACGATGTCACCTGAGATGTAAATTTTTAATTTTTAATTCTTCCTAGCGAGTCAGATCAACAACGAGTACTACTCTGCACTTCAGAAAGGCATTCCTTATCCGATACTACTCATTGCCGAGTACTTTACCTTGGATGGCGAAAATATACGATGGGGCAGAGGATTCCGATTGGCTGGTTTCTATACTCATGCGCTGTTATGGTAAGATAAATAAGATCTACATTGGTTTAGAACTGATAGAGCTATCCAGTATAAATAAAGTTAGTTCAATTTAGGTTTCTTCCTGTAGTAACACTGGATCAATAAGAGATGATCCTTACTGGACCTCTAGAAAGAATAGTGTAGAACTAATAGAGTTATCCAGTATAAATAAAGTTAGTTCAGTTTAGGTTTCCTCCTGTACTAACACTGGATGAATAAGAGACGAATCTTACTGGACCTCTAGGGAGAACAGTTTAGAACTGATAGAGCTATCCAGTTTAAATAAAGTTAGTTTAGTTAAGGTTTCCTCCTAACGTATGTGATTGTTTTTCTTTATACAGGATAGGCTTCACACTGTGGGTGATCACCAATATTTTATTTCTGAATGTGATAAGATATGGTGCATATTTTCTCTCCTTCACTGGTGTGGTCGTGTTGTTAGCAAATCTTATCTACGACTCGCTTCATTTTGGTCCTGAGCTGACCATTCCGTTCCCCGAAGGCATTCTGAGCTTCTCGTATGGCTGGTGTTTCTGGCTGAGTTTTTCAATTGGTAAATATGATTAAAATAACTTTTTTATGAAATGACTTGATATGGACAGCTCTATCAGTATTCCTACTTAATTACGGTCTTGAATACCTTGGGCTTGCAAAGGTCATATATGGTACCAGAAAAAAAACATGAGAATGCAGATAGACAGAGTTCCGCGTACCTACGTATTGGCGTACCTCCGGTACGTAAGTACGAGAATTATCATATATTGTACAGCAGGAAACCTAATTAAACTTTATTTGTACTGGATAGCTCTATTATTTCTAAACTGTTCTCCCTAGAGGTCCATTAAGGATGATCTCTAATTAATCCAGTGTCACTACATGAGTGAGCAAACCTAAACTAAACTAACTTTAATTATACTGGATAGCTATATCATTTCTAAACTGTTCTTCCTAGAAGCCAGTAAGGATTATCTCTTATTGATCCAGTGTTACTACAGGAGGAAACCTAAGTTAAACTAACTTTATTTATACTGGATAGCTCTATCAGTTCTAAACTGTTCTTATTAGAAGCCAGTAAGGATTACCTCTTATTGATCCAGTGTTACTACAGGAGGAAACCTAAGCTAAACTAACTTTATTTATCTGGATAGCTATGTCAGTTCTAAACTGTTCTCCCGGAAAGTCCGGTAAGAGCCATCTCTTATTGATCCAGTGTTACCACAGGAGGAAACCTAAACTAAATTAACTTTTTTTATACTGGATAGTTTCATCAGTTCTAAACTGTTCTTCTTAGAGGTCCGGTAAGAGTCATCTAAAACTAATAATTCGTGAGTAAATTAGCCAACCATTTTTCTTTTATTTTGTTCGCATGATAATTCTGGATACCTGGGTGGCTCTGTCGAATCTAGACTGTTCTCTCTTGAGGTCCAATAAGAGTCATTCCTTATACAGGAGAATATGCTTCTCCTTAATCTCCTGTATAAGGAATGGCTCTTACTGGACCTCTAGAGAGAACAGTTTAGATTGATATAACACTTCAATTTACTCTTTGCTTTGTTTAGGGTTTCTATGTCTGGTTCTCGGTGTAGTGGTCGCGGCTCTGGATTATTGTTTTCCTGGACCGGTGGCGACATTCTTCAACATTGATATCGTTACGGAATTTGAAGACGTTGTTGTGGCCGAGGAAGAACTGTCGCCTGGGGAGTCTCCTGATGGCTCGTCTGTTGAAAGCATCCCATCTGGGGAAGATGAAGCAACGGGCGGAGAGGCAAATAAGGTAGACTGGAAACTAGTTTGATTCATGTTTAAACGTTCACATGTTCTACAGAACGCATATGAGTAGAGCTAAGTCTCTCTGAGTTGAGCAGTTAAGCATGGTTAGATCATACAGAGGTAGTACATGTTCTTGTATGTGAGTTACTTTCATTTAAAGTGATCTTATTTTGTACAGAACTCATGTGAGTAGAGTTAAATCTCTCTGAGTTAAGCATAGTTAGGTCATACAAAGGTACCTTAAAATGGTCAAATGTTGCACAGAATTCGAAATCATGTGAGTAGAGTCTCTCTGAGTTCAGCAAGAGCTAGTTAGATCATACAAAGGTACCCTAAAGTAATCTGATGTACAGAACCTATGTCAGTAGAGTAAGTCTCTCTGAGCATGGTTAAATCATGCAGAGGTAGTACAAGTTCTTGAATGTGAGTTACCTTACCGTATACTTTTGTATTGCGTGCGGAAATTGCTGCCACATTTGGGCCGAAAAAGGATAGCAATTTCCGCACGCAATTTTATACAAAATTTTCAAACTTTGCAAGGCTATATTTTCCGCACTTTACAACATTTCGTAACCAAACTTTGCAATTTTACTCATTTTAGTATGCTCTTTCTAGTTGTGGTGATTTATTTGCATCTCCTTGCCTATAATAGTTTTAAAATTAGTCTATAATGGGAATTGTTTATTGCTGAACCATTAATATTAACATGCCCTCTGCCTTCACTTTAGAAACGGATTCACTTCGTTTCGCGCTCGCGTTACGCAGGTATCTCGGCCAGTTGGAGACGCAAGAAGACACCGCTGAATACATCCTCATCATTTCCGCTGTTTCAACCAATGTCTGTGTCTGGCAAGCCCAGAACATCTTCGGTCAAGATCAACATTGAACAGCATCATGATAACGAAGCATTTCATGGCAGCGATGAGGATGTTCGTTGCGAACCTGAAGTTTCACAGGAGAATATTGATTCTGTGGCGGAAATGGGAGGTGACGACGCAAGAAATGGCGAATGTTCGGGTGAAAACTTTGGAAATGGTGAACGTTTAAAGGTGCCTGATAGTACCGTCGTGGAAAAAGGGGAATGTTCAGTAGAAATTGGTGCGGATTTAGGAGAAAACGGTGAAACTTCTGTGGGAAATCCGAAGGAAAGTTTAACGGAACCTGGTGAGGTTTTAAGTAAAAATGACAATGCTAATGTGACGGAATTTTGAAGAGATATTTGCCATATAAAACAATTAAATGAGAAGAATGGAATACTCTGTAAATCTATTGTTTATATTTGACTTGAGAACTAGTTCACTGGTAATGTAGACAATGATACATCATACAGCCATGATCCCTCAGATTCCCTCTCATAATTTGCCCGATAATTTCTGGCTGTGTGTCAGTAAATCGATCAGATGGATCATACCTCGAGACCGCCTACTGTGGATGTTTGTATAGAACTCTTAACTACTATTTAACTGTGCCCGTTTTGTAGTTAAATTGTAGTTAACTTTGATCACGTAGTTAAGTCAAAAAAATAATGTCATAAAAATGTGGTTAGCGTGAACTGCAGTTAAAAAATATTTAAAAAATTGTCGCAGTTAACTATGCCCAAGGGTATCGTTAACTTCCCAAAACGTTGTTGAAAATGGCACTTTTAAGAGTGAACTGCATTTTCAGTAAGACAACAATGAAAAGCAACGTTCACCTGGGATTTTCAATCGCTATCTTCCCTGTGAATGTTTCCTGAAAGTTATAAACTCTTCAAACGCTATCACTTATATAGAGAAAATATTTTCGCACAGGACTAGGTTTCTCGAAGACGAATTAGGACCCATTACACGAAGAAACATGCATGATATATAATTGCCAAAACAGCTACACTTGGTTTAACGTAGACATCTCACAGAAAAACTGCTTTCTTCTACAGTTAAGGATTTAACTACGGTAGTTAACGCTAACTGCATTCGACCTGAACTGCGTTTTTATACAACCGAGTCTATTTGTAAAATAGGACAGACGAATTCAGGACTAGAAATTATCAGACGTAATTTATTCCCCAAACCATTACCAGTATAGATCACGCTATTTATTGGGCAAATTGGTGAAAATTATGGAACAATTGTGCATCTGATGACAAAAGCATTACAGATTAGACTGATTGCCACAAAAGTTTGTTTTTCTTACCATTTACCAGATTTTCGACATCAGTTTTAAGTTACGTAAGGCTAAACCCTATAGCCAAAAAATGTCTTTAGGGTATATCCTAACATTATGCGGATGCCAAAGTTGTCTGCTTTCACCATCAAATGCAAAATTTTGCCATCAATATGCTACACTAATTCTAGCTAGATCATCTGGTGTTCACACCAAGACTGTTGATCAGTCTCTAATATGTACCAATCAATTAAATATTTAAAACTATTTGAAGTCCTACGGGCTTTGGACTATGAACCTCGCGCTAAATGGCTCGGTGAGTCCTCTGTTACTCCAGAAGTATTGAGATCAGCGCTGAGACCAGGGGGGTATTTTATTAACTTTGTAGAAGGCGAGGTCGCAAAGTAAAAGGAAAAGACTATTTTGTAATTTTTTAAAAATATCAATTTATTTTTAAATTGTTTTAACGAATAAACAACTCAAAACTTTGAAAGGTGTTGATACTGCTATAAAGAAAGCGTTGCTCAAATTAAAAAACTATGTCTTGTGCAGAGTTTATGAGAAAAGGCAAAGTTATTTACTTATTTAAAACGTATAAATCCTGGATTTCTGGATATTCTAACAAGACGAATCTATGTTAGAAGTTGTGTAAGTAAAGTTTTCTGTTCATTTATTTAGTTTTAGACTTGTTAAAAGTTTCTACATTTAGTTTTGGTTTGATTTGATTTCAATGCAAAGGCAAATATTTGCAACAGGTAATGAAATGTTTTAATACACGCTTCCAGAAAGTATTTCACCTTAACTATTTTTGACTTGCAATCAATTTCTTGAGAATTAGAAGACAATGGCATGGCGGCCATGTTAGTGCCAAACTCAAAAGAAGTTAATGAGATTCTTTTGTTGAAAGGGGACCAACATGGCTGTCGTCCACATCATTGCAAGTCAAGAATAGAGCCTTGTTTTCGTGATTGACATTGAGTTTACCTAAGTCACATACATATGACAAAGTGACATACTTTCAGCAAGGGTGTATTACAAGAGGAAATTGAATTCATTAGGCCAAAAAAATGTATGTGGATTTCCGGTTTCCCGACCCTACCTAGCTTTTGGACGTCGAAATCCCGGCCCTAAACTTTTTTATTGGATCATGCTTGTAAGTGTTTCCACTTAGAGGAAAACATTTGTGGAAAATTGAAATTTGACTAAACAAAATGGCGTCCGGTTTTTAGGAAAATTAAAAAAAAAGTTTAAAAAAAAAGTTAAAACCGACCTATCCTACCTAAGTTTTTATCAGAAGAAACCGGAAACCCACATATTTTTTTTTTGCCTTAGAACTTAAAAGTGGTTTTTGGTTGGTCACCATCATCACCATTATGATCATCATTACTACCACCATCATGTATCACCATCATCACCAGATCATCACTATCACCATCATTACCAACACCATCATCACCACCACCATTATCACCACCACCACCATCATCACAACCACCATGTCCACCATTATTACCACCACTACTATCACCATCAATCCCACCACATCAGGATCACCGCATCATCAACATCACCATCATCAACATCACCACTATCACCATCATCACAACCACCATGTCCACCATTATTACCACCACTACTACTATCACCATCAATCCCACCACATCAGGATCATCGCATCATCAACATCACCACTATCACCATTATCAACATCACCACTATCACCATCATCAACTGACAACATCACCACTATCACCATCATTACCACCACCACCACATCATCAACATCACTATCACCAACATCACCATAATCACATTCATTATCATCATCACCATCATCGTCATTATCACCATCATTACCATCATCATCATCACCATCATCAGTTAGAACTGCTTAAACTGGATATACCCTACATTAGCTATCAAAACCAATTCGAACAAGACTTGGGCACATCACCTTCATCATCATCACCATCATCATTGTCATCACCATCATCATCATCACCATCATCATCACCATCATCATCACCATCATCACCATCATCATCACCATCATCACCATCATCACCATCATCACCATCATCACCATCATCACCATCATCATCACCATCACCACCATCATCACCACCATCATCACCATCACCATCATCACCACCATCACCATCACCATCATCACCACCATCATCACCACCATCATCACCATCACCATCATCACCATCATCATCATCATCACCATCACCATCATCACCATCACCATCATCATCATCACCATCATCACCATCACCATCATCATCACCATCATCATCACCATCACCACCATCATCACCACCATCACCATCATCACCACCATCATCATCACCACCATCATCATCACCACCATCATCACCACCATCATCACCATCACCATCATCACCATCACCATCATTACCACAACCTTGTTCCCAGGTAGGAGCTGGCCTCCACAATAGGTAAGAGCCTGGGAATGAGGTTGTCATTACCATCACCACCATTTACTAGTGGAATGATTCAAATATGCCTTAATTTGCCTTTCTCACGATGACGAATATCCGCCATTTTTTGGGTGGCATCTAATTCTCGTTAACCAATGCAGACAATTAAAACAATGTGAAAAGCAATTTTACAAAATAAACTAACCATTTACAAAGCAAATTTACCATCATTCGTCCAAAAAATTATAAAAAGTCGCTGTTATCATTGTTATGTGGACTTATCTCGCAGACTTTGGCCGAAATGAGCCACCCAAACATGGCGGCGTGACAAAGGCTAATTGAAACAACTTTGAGAATACAGTGTCTCAGTGTCTGATTTATTATTTCAAAATATTTAACATTAGTAGTCTCTAATTACTGAATTTAATTCAGTTCACAGTATAAAAAAATCTAAATTAATTTATGCGAATAAAAAAACATTAAAAGTTTTCAAAATGATGTATGAATGTCGGTCCATTGTTGATATTGAGTTCGGCACATGTTTTTTCAACACCGTTTGTCATTGCTGGAGGCCCACAGCTAAACACACCTATCTTGCCAACCTAGGGAAAACATTAAAAGTTTTCAAAATGATGTATACGAACGAAAATAAGTCGCGGCCTAAATAAGCCGCGACTTAAATAAGTCGCGAACGACTCGTATAAACAGTCAATTTGCAATAAGCCGCGGCTAATTTAGGCCTAGCTTTCAAGCATGGGCTTATTTTAGCCGCGGCTTGCGAACAAATTGACTAAACGTTAATACGAGTCGTTCGCGAATTTAAGTCGCGGCTTATTTAGGCCGCGACTTATTTTCGTTCATATAAATGGCCCTATTATGAATAAGGCATTGAATATATGATACTGTATGTTCTATTTACACTGGGTAGCTCTATCAGTTCTAAACTGTTCGTCCTAGAGGTCCAGTAAGGATCATCTCTTATTGATCCAGTGTTACTGCAGGAGGAAATCTAAACTAAATTAACTTTATTTATACTGGATAGCTCTATCAGTTCTAAACTGTTCGTCCTAGAGGTCCAGTAAGGATCATCTCGATGCAGTGTTACTACGGGAGGAGTATAAATTAATTTGTGAAACATTACCTCAGGGTGAACATCGGAAATACGTCGTAAAGTTGAGTTAAAGTTTGGTCTGCCAAAATGAGTGATTGCCTGCAGGCCAGTGAAGAGAGAACGTCCAGAAATCTTCTGAAAATGACGCTCACATATGTACTACATAACGAAAGGAAAATCTTCAAAATGTGTCAATTGCTGTGAATTTGTACCTTTGGTTAAGTCCTAATATCCAACACTCTCTTTTGACAAGTGAAATTTCTATATATCTTACCAGCATGGTAGTTCGTAGATCGAATTTTTCATAAAACTGTGTGATAAAGATATGAACTGTGACTAATCCTGTTGTGTCTTTCTCCTCGACCTCACGGATAATGTCTGTCAGCCATTCAAAATGTTTCTGAGTGCGAGTCACCCATAGGAAATATACCTGAGGAATGAGAGAGATACAGTCAATGGAATGTTTTATGAAGGTCAAAACTCTCAACGGCAAATTATTGAGGGTTAAACTTGAAAAGCACAGAAATTCGGAAAATTGATTTAACATCGGGAGAGAGGGGAAGTCCAGTGATTGGAATGTTCCATTCTCTTTTTATTGTTTTGAAAATCCCTCTGTTTTCCATGTCATCCAGTCATGATCCAATGATCAGAATGTTCCATTGTTTCTTCATTGTTTTGAAAATCCCACTGTTCTCCATGCCATCCAGTCATGATTCAGTGATCAGAATGTTCTATTGTCTTTTCATTGTTTTAAAAAGCCCACCGTTCTCCATCAGTCACTCATTTTATTGACTAAAAGGAGCCTATTAAAAAACGCAGAGGGAATCAGCTAATATCAAATGTGAGGCATGCTAGTAACCCCCACCTGTTTGCAGGCAAATGTGGACTTCAATGTTCCCTTATGAGCAATATCTTTCAAAATTGAAGCAAAAGGAGTGACTCCAATTCCTCCTCCTACCAACACTGACACTTCATAACGATACCAATCTTGATGGCCTTCACCAAATGGTCCATCTAAATATAACTGAGAGGAAAAACGTGAATGAGTATACCACTCCATGCAGTTAGCTTAAAGTTATAAGATCGGGTACGATGTAATAATTGGTGACTGGAAGTTCTACTCCAGGACCAAAAATCGCGTTATTTATTATTATTATTATTATTATTATTATTAAGAACTTTATTAGCATGACCTTAACTAATTACAGGTATTGCTAAAGTACATTACATAGTAAAGATTATAAGAGTAACAATAACATAAACAAATTGTGACTACGGAGTAGTTCATATACCTAATAGATTGTTTTCGTGAATAGATAATTGAGTAACACCACATGCTATGGGCTTTGTATCTTAAGGCATTTGTCACTGACTTTAAAACATTTTGCAATAAAATTTGAAAATAGATTTGTTAATGCTGGGTCTGTGTTTGAAATTATATGTGTCAACAAATCTTCTCTTGAATCTTTAGGTAGATTCATTTGAAAGAAAGTTTGTAGTATATTATTGGAGTTGTTTCTTATATTTTGATATTTTTGACATTCAAAAGCAAAGTGAAATTCATCTTTGATGGAGTTCAGATTGCAATGTCTGCATATTCTTTCTTCTTTCGGTATTTGTTGGTATCGACCATATTCAATTAGTAATTTGTGATTACTTATCCGGAGTTTTGTGTAAAGTCATCTTTGACATGGTTTTTTTATTGTGGTTACATATTCTTCCAATTTATATTCTTTTTTAATTTTGTTGTATTAAAAACGAAATTTCGAAATGTAATTTTTATTTGATCGATTATATTTTTTATTTTGTTGTCATTGATAAAATGTTCTAAATCGACTGTTTTTTCAAGTGTGGGGAAATGTTTATGCAATAGATTTACAGTATTTGAATAAAAAGATTCTTTACCATTTAGGTATAATTCTTTGGAGCTGAGAAATGCTTGCTTCACAAGTGTAGAGTTTGGGAGTTTGTATAAATTTGTAACATAATTGAGTATTTTCTTAATTATCTGTATTATTAATGGAAATTTTCCCAGTTCTCTTCTACTTCCATTATTACAGGCTTTTCTCTTAACTCCTAGATAAAGTTTGCAGAATTTTAGGTGTGTTTGTTCAGTTTGGGTTTTATCCCATTTTGTAAAATCATTGTCGGCATATGCCCCCCATATCTCTGAATTATACAGTAATATTGGAGAGACTACACCGTCAAAGATCCTACATGCTAGTTTTGGTGGTAGATTGTGAAAATCAATCTGTTTGCATATTTTGTATAGAGCATGAATTGCCTTTTCACTCAGTTGTTGGCAAGCATTATTAAATTTTGTGTTTGGAGTCAATTTTATACCTAAGTAGGTATATTCATCAGTGATGGGGATTGGGTTATTTCCCATGCTGAATTTTATATTTTTCTTAGTTTTATGTTTTTGTAATATCATGACTTTTGTTTTTGACTCACGGATGTTGCGAAGCAACATCTGTGAGTCTTTGTGGTTTACTTGAGTGGGGGCAGTTAAACAATGGGAAATGACCAGCCTGCTTTGCGCGCAGTGTTTGCCTGCGAACTGGTCTTTTGGAACCGAAAATTGGGCTGGAGCACGCTTCACGTTCTCTTTTCAACTTTTGACTTTTTGACAAGCGTATGTTAAATTAAAAGGTGAGTGTTTCGTTTTTGTTTAGTTGACTTAATTGTTATCTGTTTTTCTACTTCACCCAACAGATCTGCTGTTAACACACTGATCTACCTTTTAGCTGAAATATTAACAATATTTTGTTCAATATATATACAAGTGTTGGCATTTTCTGGTGCCTTTCGAGCGCCTCTGTCAGCTGTGTTTCAACACCGTTTCAACACTGTTTCCATAGTTTCTGTCGATTGAAAGAGTTTTTTGTTTACCAAATTTAATCATGTTATTTAAATAATTCATGTTTTAGCTGTCACGGAATACAAAGGACATATTTGTCTTATTTGAAGCAACACGACACAAAATATTGGTATTAAAGTCACGTTGCCGTTGTATATTTCACATGACTGCGCTTGCACTGGCACGGACGAGTCTCACATGAGGACGAGTCTCACAAACATACCACATGATTTTAAGACAAAAAATAGTGGATCACATGAACATTATAGAACATGCCCTTAGACCATATATGAATAGTTCAGTAGATCATTATTTAGCCACAAGCAACATGAGGAACAGTGGTGTGTGGGGGACTGATATTGAAATTTTTGCAGCCATTCCCTTTTCAATGTAGATATTTATGTTTATTCACAGTTTGGTAACAATTATAAATGGTCTAAAAAGAAAAAGAATATTGGACACTGAGGCAGCATTACCACCTGGATTTACTTAAACACTGTACTGCCATTGGACAGCTACCTGTACCGTTGTACCAATAAGAGTACTGTTTTATAGTTGTTCTGTTTAAATTTTTCTGTTCAACACTGTACACTGTACATCATACAGCTACAGTCATTGATGCAGCATGTACTGTATTGGTTACAACTTTATACTTATAGCTATCATGTTTAAATTGTCCTGTTCAACACTGTAGATCGGACAGCTACGGTCATTTGATATATTACATTGGGGACAGCTTTATACTTATTATAGTTATCATGTTTAAATTGTCAGTCTGTTTAACACTGTACATATCGGAAAGCCACAGTCATTGGATGTACTGATACTGACTGTATTAGGTACAGCTTTATACTTATAATTATTCTGTTGAACACTATACACACCTGACAGCTACGGTTATTGTACTTTTATATAGATTTGCTTTGATGGTGTGTAGTTTTATAATAATCTATCAGATTGTTTTTTCAAGACTGTTGATATTGGTTAGGGACAGGTCATTATTTATGGAAGGGGGGGAGGGGAATTTTTTCTTTTCTAAATTTTTAAAATTGAAAGCCCCCCTCCCCTAAATGGCAGAAATTTAATGATGCCCCCCCTGCATATTAGAATATTTTTCTTTGACCCCCCCCCCATTTTCATTTTTACTCGTCAAATGGGGATACCCAGGCGTTATAGTATTAATTATCAAATAAGAATATGGAACTGGCAAGATATTAACGTCGACCAAAAATATATATTTATTAGCAGAAAATTATAATTAAAAGAGGAGTATTTTTATATATAACACTAAAATCAGGTTTCCATTTGGTCTGGGCGATTGTAACCATGTTTAAGGCTGCAACTAGACTTGATGGTACGAAGTATTGCCATAGCAGCTGCGTGGCAACAATGAGAGCAACAATCAGTAAAATTAGCAGCAAAAGGAGATAGCAATGACAATTCTGCAAAGGCATACCTGCGAAATACAATGTATAGTGGTCTATACATTCTATTTTATGTGAGATTTAAAATTATATAAAATAAAATGACATATACTAGCTACCAGATAAAATCTTTTAGAATGAACGTGGGTGGGTCGGGAAAAGGTATCGAAGCGCAAAACTTGCTGCAGCTAGGCAAAGCATACAATGGCAGAATGAATACCCAGACCCAAGCACTGATCACAAGGCATGAAACAACCCCCTTTGATCGATATGACGTCACAGAGTAGACTCCCTTCAGCGGATGTGGCCTGCATAATACAAACGCTGTTAACTGCTTAATTTAAATGTATTTAACCACATCAAGAGCTGATGTAATAATACATTGTCAATTTAACTAGTCTGCAATCCGTAAAGACTGATTTGCATACAGCACACACAAGACAAGATGAATCCAGACTATTTCACATCAGTGACCATGATTTAGTTGCAACATTTACAACCAAATGGATACCAGGTTATTAAGCAAATTCCTTCAAGTTTAATTGCAACCCCCCTGTCATTTTCTTGAAAAAAATTAATAGCTCCCACCCCTTCTAGTCATTTATTTCTACATATGCCCCCCCCCCTTATTTTTTTCCTCCCCCCCTTCCATAAATGATGACCGGTCTCTTATTGTTAAAATCGAGGATGTCGTTAAAATTAAACTGTTTAAACCTGTAAGATCTTCGCCCCAGTTCGGGAACATTTTATATTATGTTGTGTTTTACCAAATAATGTCCTTGCCCTTGCACGGTTCCCATTTGTAAAAAACTGCTGTAAATCATATCCCCCTTTAATTAATTTGATCTCATCCGTGAGTCGGCCTCGAAGGCCTTTGATTTAAACTTGTAAGCTGCTTGCAGAATGTTATCGAGCCATAGCCATAGTTCATATTTTTCGGTACGAATCAATAACATTTGACGTTCTCTTGTGATTTTTGACCAGTTGTTTTTTTTCATATTAATGTCAAATTTGAAAAATTATACTTTCATTCCATAGTTGTATTGATTTTTCACGGAATAACCTTTATATTGACGTTAAAATCTCAGTAAAATATTGTTTTTCGCCTCTGGATAAACACCATCGCTACGTTGTCATTTTTTCCACACAAAAACGGGAGAAAAACTCTATACTCGTTTGCCGCTTTCGTTGTGGGCACAAAGTCTTAAAATACACACAAAAATCGTTATAAATCGCAAAAAGCAACAAGAAACAAGTCGTTGAAGTCGACACAATAGCATCTGAATTTGGCTTGTCAAGCAGTTTTCGCTTGTTTTCCCGCGTTTTGTTCCCGTATCCTAGGATACGAGGCCTCGTCACGATTTATGAATAAGGTCTATCTCGAACTAATTTTGCTTCACTGGACCGAATTTACCCGTCTAATGACTTTATACTCAGTTCGGAGAAGTTTGGGGCGTAAACATGCACGTAAAACGGACTAAAATAAAGAATGTATATACTCCTTCAGTTTACGATACCTACAGCACAATGGAAACAAGTCTAGTCAAAAATTCTAAACAAGTCTAGACAAAAATTTCATCACAGCTTGAAAGAGCATCACAAAATTAGTAATATTCCAAAGTTTCGTTGGGAAATGTTGTAAAATGTGGATAATATAGCCTTGCGAAGTTTGCCGTTTTTCAGTCATTTTGCATTACACGGGGGAAATTGACAGCCCAATACCCTTTGGGGCTGTCAATTAGTCTTTTTCATTTAAAATATACGCAACGATCAGCTTTTAATGCCGTTATAATAGCGAACAATACATCAATATTTAAAACAAACCTACCTTCGTTAACGTCGGCGCCTTTACTCTCTTCTTTTAGCAATTCTTTCGCCTTTATTTCCTTAAAAAGCTTTTGAAATTCACAAAATCTTGCAAAAATGAAATATATTTGCAGGAAATCATCAAATCAAGAAATTTTTGGTATTTCGCTGTCGTCATGCAGTCATGATCATGCAAATTTTTTACATTTGACCAATCAGTGTTCGCTAATCATGACAGTCCGCCATATTTTTGAGATCAGTGAGGATGACCACCCACCTAACACGCACAGTGAGCCACGCCCGCGATCACTGATGAACTTTAGACTTCGCTAATGCTTTCGTTTCCCTGGGGGTAAATAGCCGGGCGGAATTAGTACCCTCGCACGGCGCTCCGCGCCGTTGCTTCGGGGATAACTGCAACAGTGCAACTTAACACGATTGCTTGATTTAAAAAGAAGTTGGGTAATCTCCGACAAACTTAACTAATTGCAAAATATAGAGGAATGTTCACAACAAAGACCACCGAATACCAAAACCCAATATATTTACGGCTCTTTTCTGGAGATGAATTCAACTGTTATAACTGCAACTTATTTACACAACTGCTTGTCAGATTTGAAAAGAAGTTAGGAAATATCTGACCAACTAGTTCCAAAATATTGAGGAATGCTCACGGCAAAAACCACAATCCCAATACTCAATATATTTACATGATATTATCATTGTTTTAAAGGAGCAGTGTCACCGTCTGGGCATCTTTCTATGCGCATACACAAACTTGAAAAAGTTGAGCCAACTTTTTCAAGTTTGCAAATCCAATATCCAATTCACCAAGAAAGAATGTAGCATTTCCGACATATTCCGAGGTTAAAAAATACGTGGACTGAGAAGGATGCACAGACGGTGACACTGCTCCTTTCACATAACTTCCTACAGACTAAAAATAGCAACATTCGGAAGAAATGTTTAGTTCATTTAAATATATTTTCCACAGAAACTTCCTATCAACAAGACTCTGGGACTACGAAAGTCGCTGGGGCTACGAAAATATGCCATTTTCAAGTTTTCGACCACAGTCTACAATCAGTGGTGCAACTTATAATAATAATAATTTGATCATTATTTAAATTTAGCATAATTACATAGTTGATTATTGAAAATTCTCCACGCTGATTGTTGCCGTTGAGGTGATTATTACGCGATAATCACCTAAGCGATTTTCAAAATGGCGGGCGAAACCGTTTTGTCAATTAAATGACGAAGAAATTTCTTTTTTTTCTTCTTTTTTTCTAAATAATTACCTATGAAATTATACTTAATCAATTATTCACCTCAGGCTTGGTGATTATCGTGAATAAAAACGATAATCACCTCGCCTTCGGCGAATAATTGTTAAATAGTGCTTAATCTATCATGGAACACTCTAAGGGCCCCCCTCTAAAGCGTTGTACAGTGATGAATTTACAATAATAACTATAAATTATACTCTAAAAAGCTGGGTATTGACAATCTTATAGTTATCCTAAAATTTAAAAACTTGAAAATATTTGGGGTAGGGGCATTCCGATAAATTATAACCCAATCTGGTAATGCACTTGTCAATTGTAACTAACCTTCCGGATAGGTGGGGACATAGATTTTAAGACCTCCAATAATTGACTAACCAAGATTTGAACATGCATTGCTGGCAACTATTATTTTGTCAACATGATAAACCTGATAATGGGCAAGTGCCCCTAAATGAAGATTATCTCGACTTTTCTCAACTCATGCACCGAACAACGCTGGAAAGCATCGTCCTTAGATTTTTGGACTCCTTAAAATTCAAACTTCACGAAAATTGTCAACGGAGGCTGTAAACCTGAGACTTTAATGTGTGCCATCCTGGAACTAGAACTCTTCTTCTTCTTGTGTTAAGCGTTGTTCGTACTGTCTGTATTTTGTCCTGTGAAATCTTGTATTTCGTATACATATAAGACCTTGCTCTGTTCAGTGTGCGGTACAAATTGAATTTGGCACATTAAAACACCTTGTTTGTAAAACACTCTGTTTATGCTTATGGAAGAAATATACGTAACAGTGCTAGTCGTTTATTTATTTTTTCCAAGTGTAATGTTTTGTAAGTGATTAAATGTGTCCAATTTACTTAATTTCAATAAATTCTGCTTTTGACAATAGTGATTGTATTTTGAAGCAAGCGCTGAAGGCTACCTACATGTACGCAGCGCGTACCTATTTTTGGAATTTGACATTGATTTGGTTGTCTCGAACCTCCGCGCTCGAATTCTGGCGAAATTTCTTGCTGTGGTTTGTTGTTTTCAGTTTCGAACAAAGCAAGATGCTGTAATTGTATGACCCCGACATATATCAATAGAGAGCATACATGCAAACTGCAACTCAGTATCATGAAGCGTTTTTATAATAGATGAATTTAAGAGTGAGTGCAGTGTCAGTTTTAAATTTTTTTATCGCCTTTATAAGAAACTTTTATCGCCTCTACATGCATACCGGTAACTGTTAATCCTGAAATTTTTTAAAAAATCCATAGCTATATATAATAATGTATATAACCTATATGAATTTTTCTCATGGCTAGGAAACCATTGTTGTAATATTAATTAAACCGACAGGTGCTTATCGTTACAAACGAGGAGCATTTATATATCTTAACTTCGGACCGAAGTGTCGATCTTCATCTAGAAACTTTATGAAATCAATGCATGCACACAATTTTCTACATGTTTTCTATTTTATCCTGTGATAAAAACAGCCTCCATAATTTCATAAGCATAGAGAATGCTCTACAAATATAGTTGAAAATGCATGATTCGGCGGAATGAACTACTTTAATTAAGCGAGACAATGACGTGTGTGCAGTACATATTATTTGTCAATCTTGTGTAAATGTAATTTTTCCGATATTGGAAAAATATACATGTAAATAATAAAATATTAAAAACCACGGTTTCATTAAATTTCCTATACAATAGTTAATCGAATGAAAGCATTATACGTTGCTAGTTAAACAGCTCCCACTCAAACTGTCGGATATATAAAACGATAAATACATATTTAATTTTCATAATGCTTTCAAAAGCTCGACACTCGATGAACTGTCGACACACTGTTTGCATTAAGAAGATCTATATAGTTGTTGCTGCGAAGGCTTTCAATAATAAATCTTGAATTTGGTAAGTATACTTTTAGAAAATTAACGGTTTTAACGAATTTCTTTAAAAATATACGGCGTGGTATGAATTAGATACATTTAATTCAATCGATCGGCAACTATAAAAAACTGAGTTAAAATTACCTTAGTTATAATTTTTACGAATAAAACGCTTAAGCGTACGAGTCGATTTCAAATTTCAAAGTTTCTGCATCGGAGCAAGATTGCTGTTCAATGATATAAGTTCCCCGAAAGTTCACATGACCATAAAACAATATATACAGTATATAATATCTTTCGGTTTGTGGAAAACTCAATTTTATTTCATATTGCAAAGTTTTCGGTCATAACATATCATCACCTGAGGTAATATTTTGCCGAATCCTTCAGGCAGATGGTTTAAATGATAAATAATTCCCACTGATTGGAAGATCCGGGAATAATTCTCACTGATGAAGAACCATAAACCGTGAGTTATATATCACTTTAAATGCATGGGTAAATAAGAAAACGTTCGTTTGAAAAAGTCTGACAAAGAACATAAATCATCCAATTTGAATCCGTTGACGGAAAAGTAAAGCCTGCTTTCCATTAAATCGCAAGAATCGAACCAATCGTAATGGCAGAAATCGCAATCAGCCTATTTCTATGACGGAAACCAGACTTGAGGATCAACCTGAAAGCGTTTCAATTTCATGGCCAGGCAAACAGGTTGAAACATTTTGTAATCCTCAAGAATACGGGATGAAAAAATGGTCACCATTTCCACAGCCTATCAAAAAATTAAAAATCATCCCAGAGATAGTTATATTTATATGCGTTAAAAGTTACTTTCAATCGTCAAATTACTTTAATCCGGCTACGGGCTATCAGTTTGATTCTTCATGTCCACGAAATGTACAACTTGGTACAAGATGTCCAGCCAATGCAGAATTTTCTCTATTGAATAAATGAATGAAAATAACAGAATTTGTAAACTTCCAACACGCTCCTTCCATAATTCATAAAGATAACGAAAATAACCGAAAATAAAATATATAAAACCATCATATGAGTTTAAAAATCATACGTGGAAGTTTAAAAAAAACTCCAAAAAATTAGCAGTGCAGATAGCAATGCAGATGAAAAAAGAACTTAAAATAAGCGCGAAAGTTTATTAATACATGCAAGGTCGCCAGTCGGTGACATACTAGAATTATAAGTGACTGAAATTTAGAGTATAATTTATTTATTTATTTAGCTTTGCCAACTAGGGCAGGGTCACCACAGCAGCATAATTCATAAAGATAACGAACAGGGGCCGGTTGTATCAAAGGCGTTTAACTTAAACGGTGTTTAGCCGCTATCCAGTGTATAAATTTCTTATCCAGCGGATAGTTAAACGGCCGATAAAATTGCGTTGTATGAAGCCCGTAGTACCGCGTTTAACTATATCCGTAGGATAACTTTTAATTTAACCGGAGAAAACCGGATTTTCTTGAAATTTCTTACCTCTACGTCAGCTGTTGCTATAGGCCTTTGTAAACTTTTAAAGCTTTATCTAACTTGTGAATTCCACTAAGCTTTTGCAATAAAGTTTGTTGTTGTTTTTATTTGGAGTTTGCTCGTCCATTCGTTGCTGCAAATCTATATCAAACTTTTTATTTTCACATTGACATTGTGCTGAGTTTCTCATTCACTTAAATTCACTTACGGATATTGGCTTCTTTATGCGAAGAGTCGAAGGCAATAGCAAAAACTGTGAGTTGTGTTTGGCTTTTGTCAGTTGATTCAGTTTTAATGTTTTATGCTGTTTGAAATTTGTTCCTCGACCTTGCACTTTTGTTCAAAACAATTTTAAGAACATTTTGTCCCAAGTTTTGACATGGCTGATCAAAGCGATTAACGCGAGCGAACAAAATTTTCCGACTTTCGGCGTCTTGTTGTCTATTTTATATACTTGTTGGCTTTCCAAAGTCATTGTTTATTTTAAAATAGCTAAAATTTGGAGTCTTACTGCTTGTTTTCAAACTATATAATAGAAGAAAAGAAGGAGAAAAAGCCAAAGTATACTTAACGTCTAAACACTGCAGACACTGGTGTGCGTATAAAATATAGCGAAGCCATGGAATTCATATACAAGTGAGCAAGTGAACTCAGTGTACCTCAAGACCAAGCCAGTTAAAAGTGAGTTATTCATGTTTATTGGACTTAAAAAGATAACTCCTCTACATAATGCATGTGCATTTTTATAACTATCCCATGCTCTTTCATCCGAAATAATCATTCGGTTTTATCTTCAAACTCCGAGTTTATCCGCCGTATAGCGATTTAATTAAACGGTCTCAAGAGACCGTTTAAGTTTACACGGTGGATAGGCAAAATTTAACCGGTGGTTAGCCCTAAACGGGTTTGATACAACGCGATTTCTCGAGCGTTTAAATTTTATCCGGCGGATAGCGAGTTAAACGTTGGATAGCGAGTTAAACGCCTTTGATACAACCGGCCCCTGAATAACAAGGGTCACCACAAACAGCATATGCCAATTACTGTGGGCCCTTTTACCTAACCCACCCTGTCAACTTTCCCTGTGGGAGGAAACCGGAGTACCCGGAGAAAACCCACGACTTCGGCAGAGCGTTGACTTTTTTTACTCTTTTTACATGAGGACTGGGTTCGAGTCGCATTGAGAAAGTTCCCACTGAGGCTTGAACCTGCGGCCTTAAAGGTGAAAGGCAAGTGCGCTAACCACTTCGCAACCGAAGCCCCTAAATAATAATAATAATTAATAATTATTCGCCGAAGGCGAAGTGATTACCGGTGAATATTCACCGAGACGAAGTCGAGGTGAATACTCATCGTAATCACTGAGCCTGAGGCGAATAATTGTTTTAGTATAAATTTTTAATGAATAAAACAAAATATCCGAATATCAGTTTAATCAAAATTCAAAAATAAAACTGTTTTACGGTTACTGTTTTAGTGTTGCAGTGTTTCTTGTACACGCACGCTTTCAAAATGGCTTCCTGTGTGACTTTATTGCTTTATTACAAAGTTGTTTTTCTCGATTTCTGCTTAGAATATAAACAGAATGATGGGATGACTTTTTTACCTGACGGAAATTGGTGTGTATGTGTATTTTGTTCAGGAAATTGTTCAGGAAAGTGGAATGTAAAACTATTTCTCGAATGCCTCGAAATAAAATTTTAACACACTTTTCACTTTACAAGTTTCCAAAACACAATACAGCGGCAGAACACTATACAGCACAATGAAATTGAGATATCAATAGGATACAAAACAAAATGATTTTAAAAGAATATCACGCCGGGCAAGGTTTTTCCAAAAGTCGGGACAGTTTTTGCTATATTTGTTTAAAGTGAATGTTTCGGAGTTTTAAAAAAATTTCGTCGATTTTGAAACCACATTTGCCGAATCATTCTTTTTGAAAAGCATTATTTATTACTAGTCAGGTGGTAAATAATGGGTCAGATTTACTAGTCAACTAGCCAATCAGAACGCGCGAAAGTTCATTTGATATGCAAAATTTATACTAATTAATAATAATAATAATAATAATTGTACTCATTCAGTCTTGAAAACATGTAATGTTTTATGTTCATATATACATTGGTACTCTCTAACTCTTAAAAGCATTTAAAGGGATACGGCAATATATTTTTTATTATTTCATTTGGAAGAACTTTTAAAATTATATGTTAATCTCTTTTACTGATTTTGCATAACTTTATTATTTCTTGAGATATTTGAACAGAAAAAAACACAGGATATGGCGGATATGTATGTGACATCATAAGCAGGGTCACGCAAGAATTTTATCCATAGAGCAATTGGTTATTATGAGCCCAAAATCATATACTTCAGTAACTATTTGAAATAAAAAACTGTCTGACGACTTTTCAAACAAGACTTAATGTTATTTGGTCATTTAGATGTAGTTTTATATGGCTAACCCTGCTTATGACGTCACTAAAATCACCGATAATGAGATAAAAATTAATCCAAGATGGCGGACAGCAAATTATTTTAAGTCAAAATATTTCAAGAAATAATAAAGTTATACGCAACGGTAAATGAGATTAACATATAATTTTATAAGTTCTTTAAAATGAAATAATAAAAAATATATTGCCGTATCCCTTTAAACTCGTAACTGTCAGCTTGTATTCACAGCGAGTGCGCATGACTGTTTTACGTGATGTTTTTATTTAAATAATACATTATATATAGATAAGACGCATAAATGTATTCGAAAGGCCCCTGTGCATGATAGTTCTTTTATCCTTGTATAACGTACAAAATGTTAGAGGAACTTAAATACTGTGTAATTAATCAACATCCATAATTGCTGTGTTTTGACTATATACGGCACTAATAACGAAGATAAAGTTCCAGTAGAGCTTTTATCTATATTTAGAATATATTATAGGTAATATTATAGCCCTAATATGATTATTTTGGGAAAACCATGGGAAAACCATGAAATAAATATTCATTCATTCTCTGATGCTTTAATTTGTTACTGCTAAAGCCTGCAGTCTTCTAGTTGTCTTTACTTATTTCTACGTACGTATTAGTGTTACGTTCAATATAATAAATTATTATCAAGTTTATTGGTTGATTTATTAAACTCAACAAATGTGTCTACTCGCGGAATTTCCTAATGATAAACGTTAATTTCTGTCTTTTCCCTAAAATAGCATTGTTTTCGTTCTTTTTCTTTTAATTAATATATTAAATTAAGCATTTTTGTCAGGCTTTCCCGTCCGGTGTCTCAGTCCAACGAAAAACCTCTCTATTGTGTAATGAGTATATAAAAGATTGAATGTATACAGCTTTAATTTAACACACAATTTAATTTACACACAATTTAACTGTATATCAACACAGAAAATGTTTTATATTTGTTAAACATTACATAATCATACGTTGTTTATCCCTTAATTTATCAAGTAATTTTTTGTGGTATATACGTGATCAAAACATACTGTTTGCTCATTCTCCCCTGCTGGTAAAAGTAAAGGGCTAGCCGCACCTTCCCCTGTTCTGGCCTGCCAACTGAGCTTTTGTTTGCTTGCCTTTCAATCTCATATGCATACGCCAGGGCGTCTTCAGTTGTTATGCCAAAAAAATTGCTTGACAAAACGATTTGTCATCATCTTTTTTATATACGAGGCGGAAAATTGTAGAGCATTATAGTGGAAACTGTGTAATTGTATTAATTATTTACAGCACTCTCATTCAATGCAGTCAGGCCGTTAGGCGTTACCAAACACAAATGCATGCATGGCACCATTCGCATATACATCAAGTCAGACTATATGGACATCAAGGCTTGGAAAGCATGTTCCTGCTGTGTTAGTCATAATTAAAATTCCTTATAGTTCCATTAACACACCAGGATATCACGACCCACACAGACTTTATACTGGTATTTTACAATCATGTTATGATTATATAGTGCACGAAAAGTTATATTATTTAATATTAAATTTGGTTATCTATACTGTACACGTAAATGTAAACTGATACTTACGCCGACGTCTTACTGAGATGCATTGCAGGTGTATGCATATATGGCTATATGTATAGCAATTTAATTAAGTGATCAAATGATTCAAATCTAATATCATCAGTATTCAGCAAACGCGAAGATAGATTGCTGCTGTTAAATTTCGCCTGGGAATTGAGAATAACGCCACAAGGTAATTACTTAAAATTATGGGCCTTAATCCAATTAGAGTTTTACTTGTACAGTGTATAGACACTTCTGGGTCGGGATAAACCTGTTGTTGAATCATAACAAGCTAGCACTGTCGCTGAGATCAAAGTATTAAGCTGTTACTGAAGCATCCATACGCATTTAAAAAGCGCGAAAAATTGGAGTTGCCCGTTCGGTTTACTTTTACGCATAAATTATTTGCCTTTTTTGTGAAGCAAGGAAAGGTGTACATAGGGAATATATTTGTAATTTAAAGAGCAGGAACTGCAAATGGTCTTCAAAAATAATTTTCACATACTTAAGTCCTGATGTCATAATGCACTTGTTGTCCAAATATAGAGGATATTTTATTCAAACTGCATGTGCTGGATGCGCAGTTATACAACTCCGAAATATAACTTATTCTTTATTAACCTTATATAGGAGAACACATCGCATTTTTATCTATCTATCTATCTATCTATATATCTATCTATCCATCTATATATCTATCTATATATATATATATGTATATATATATATATATATATATATATATATATATATATATATATATATATATATATATATATATATATATATATATATATATATATATAT